ATGTTCTTTCAGTCCAAAAGAAGCAGAGCCGGTTTCCGTTTTCCAGTCTGAACCCTGACTGTTGGCAGCGGACTCGCAGGAAATAGACTCTCGAGGTGGGATTCTGATCCCGCCCCTGGCCTTGGACGCAGCGCTGACAGCGGCATTAATCAGGTTAATTACAATGAGGTACCTACTGAGTGAAGGTGCCTTCAGGGATCCAAGGTCGGCTGTGTTTGACCACTGTCACTGGAAGGATGTGGGGTGGCTGGCTACTTCTGAGTGCGCTGGACGCCTACAGGAAGAAAATGACCAGCTCGAGTCGTAGTCAGAGAACCAGAGAATTTTGAAGGCACTTCAATTTTTTTTTTAAGATTTTACCCATTTATTAGAGAGCGAGAGAGAAAGCACAGGCAGGGGGAACAGCAGAGGGAGAGGGAGAAGCAGACTCCCTGCTGAGCAGGGAGCCCGATGCGGAACTCGATCCCAGGACCCTGGGATCATGACCTGAGCCGAAGGCAGACGCTTAACCTACTGAATCACCCAGGCGCTCCAGTCCCTCTGGTTTAAGATGGAAAATATTGGCCGAAACAAGACATTAAGTCTTTTGGGACAACTTAATGTTTTCTGTTTGTGCTTATTGAAATGTTTAACAGATAAACTTTAAGACTTGGCTGTTACCAAGTTTGAATGAAAAAAAAATGGTTTGAAAGAAAAATATATTGCAGTTTCTATTTAAAAACAATTCTTGTATTTATTTTTAAATTTAGTTTATTTAATCACACATTTGCAGAAAAGCTGAAATGACAAGAAAAATATTTTTTTTTCCTGAATCCTTAAGAAGTTAGTTCACCTCTTCATGTGTATTAATTTTCCCACTTTGACAGGTGGGTTATGTTTAGGTGGAAAATATCCCTGGTTGTAGGTCAGGGGATATATTTCTTTTTAAATATTTTATTTATTTATTTATTTGAGAGAGAGAGAGTACATGAGAGGGGGGAGGGTCAGAGGGAGAAGCAGACTCCCTGCTCAGCAGGGAGCCCGATGTGGGACTCGATCCCGGGACTCCAGGATCATGACCTGAGCCGAAGGCAGTCGCTTAACCAACTGAGCCACCCAGGCGCCCCAGGGGTATTTTCTACCTAAATATAACCCACCTGTCAAAGTGGGACAATTAACATTGATACATTTCTAGTATCTAACCCTCAGACTCCATTCCAGTGTTTCCAGTTGTCCCAATAATGTTCTTTATAGCAAAAGGATCCAGTTCTGAATTACATGTTACACTTTGTTGTCCTGTGTCTTTAACTTCCTTTAGTCTAAGATGGTCCTCTATCTTTCCTTTACTTCCATGACCTTGAGGCTTTCGAAGACTATTTTGTGGCCTGTCCCTTAGTTCGGGTTTGTCTGCTATTTCCTCACGATTAGATTTGTGTGATGTCGATTTGGCAAGGATCAGGATTTGACATGACCCCATCATTCCTTGGGCACATCCTTGTCCTTCGGTTCAAAAAGATGTTCCATTTCCAATTGTCCCTTTCCTGTCAAAGCCCTGAGATCAGCCATTTCTCTGAGGAGCCCTGGTTCATACAGCAGACCATGGCATTTAGAAGCCAACATCTGGGCTGTGCTCACTGTTAGTAGGATGTTGCTGCGCCCAGGCCCCCTTAGTTGAGAAGGTAGGGTCGATGTCAACATGTATATCCATATCTCTTCACATAGAAACAGTATGATGCGTCTACACATATTTACATCTCTGTGTATGACTCTGTCATACTATGAGGACCGTTCACATCGGTACCTCCGTTTCCAATCCAATGACCAAAGGTTCATTCCAGATCTCTTTTTGAGTTTTTGCTATGCTCTTCTCCAACGGTGAGAAACCTGGGTCCTATTATCATTTGTGTATTTTTGTATTGGATTCATTCGCCTGTGGTAACCAAGCTCCTATTGCTGTTCTTGCCCACCCCATGTGATGCCCTCCTCACCATCCTCAGGCTCTGATACCTCATGCTGGGTCACTGCCCTGGCCCGGGGGAGTCCTCTTCACCCGACTAGGACTTGAACTCCCCATTCTCACCTTGTTTGGGCTCTGACTCTCCATGTCATAAGCCCCCTCCACGCACTGTGTGGTTATCCTACTCACTTCCTTTGGCTCTGCCATCTTGCACCAAGCTGCTTCCCACGGTGTAGACTCCCCCTTTGCTCACCCAAGCTCTTCCACCCATTTCAGGACTCCACAACTCCCCCGTGGCTCCCATGGTAGAGAGGCCTGCCTTGCTCTCACCTTAAGGACCAACCTGCTTATGAAAGGAGAAGAGGAAAAGCCCAACCAATTCCTAGATATGTGTGTTGTAGAGAATATCTTCGCTGAATGTTGCCGGATTCCAGAGAAGAGCTGGCTGATCTCGAATGCTGATTCCTGATTCTCTGTGTGGGGGAGGCAGTTCTATTTACTCCAAGTCCCACATAAGGCTTTGCTTTGGACATATTAATCCTGCTAGAGTTTGGATGGAAACAAAATAACATTTGTTGGAGCAAAGAGGAAGAGTAATCAAGAAGACTTCCCTCTTCAATCTCTTTTTCCTTCTTCCCTCGTTCCTCAGAATAAATTGCTGGACAGCTTGACCCCAGAACTCTAAACTGCATATGATCTCGTGTCTTCAAGACCAAAGCATTCGTTCTCTCACTTAGACTCAGTGATGACAAGTCACTGAGCGAGTTTGAGCAGGAAAAAGGCAGAAGACTGTGAGGGAAAACTTTTCATTTCTAATTACCGAAAAATGCACGACCACGTTGTCCATCTTGTTAACTTTTTTCTAGGGCGAACAGCATAAGTCAGACCGGGTACACTGGATGGGTCAGAGAAATTGTTTTATGGTTGGGGTGCTAATAGATAGGCTGGTTCATCGGTTAATAAAGTTTTTACACCATTTACACAAATCTGCCTCAGTTTCGCTCCCTGACTTATGGCGATCACAGTAATCAAGCAATAATTACTCCATTTTATCCTAAGTATAAGTACGATATAATAAAATGTAATGCCTGTCTGGGATCACCGGCTTCCTCCGTGTAAGAAAAAAAAAAGTACATTATTCGAAGTTCTTTTTCCTACTTAGAGGAAGGACTCTTAACCAAATATTTGGACATTTGATAAACACTTTCAGTGCTGTTTAATGACCACAGAAGCTAAGATGTAACCAGATTTCGATTTCCAACAGATGGCCTGGAGAGCCACGCCTAGGTGCTCCTCTGGTGGAATCACACAGTGTTGGCGTCACCCACACCGGCTGACCAGGGTCAGAGCCTCTGAGAGCACAGCAGGGTGGCAAGACTGAGGAATGGGGACGCGGACAGCCAGGCAGGAGGCGGGCAGAGATTACTGGAAAAGAAGAAGGGATCCCAAGGGAGACAGGGAGGGAGGTGAAGAGGAGGAAGAGAAAAGCAAGAGAGAAGACATGTGGCATGGTTATCGTAAGCTGAGACTGTGATCGAAGGAAGGATAGGAAATAGAGAACGAATGTTCTAGAAAACACCGGAAAATACCTCACATGGAAGAATTTGAACACATGGTAATATTTTATTGCTTAAGTTGTACATTTCTAAATTTAAAGAAAAAGCTCTCTAACCTATGACCCATGGTCAAGGTCTGAGGAGGCAGCGCTTTGGTTGGTTTTGGGGCCACGTCCCATGGCCTCCTGCTCATTCAGGGAGCATAGCATCTTCTTGTGAAGCGAATACAAAAGCCAACTCTGGTTTTTTGCATCTTCATTTGTGGCTGCATCGACTTACACAAGAGAGAGGGGCAGAAAACCCTCGATCACAAGGCCTTGAGCTCATACAACGTATTTAAAGCCTCTCTTAATTTTTACATCCCTCTGAGGTAGATCGGAGATCCGTAGCCTTAGCCCCTTTCTACAAAAACAAAATCAAAATGAAAACGCAGAATTAAACACACACAAAGTGTAGAGTGGGATGATTTGCCTTAGCCATCCTGATTCAATCTGGGGTAACAGATCTAAGCCAATTCCCAACGCTGTAACTGATGAATGCGTTTCAAGTTGTCCCCACTTACAAGCAGGTTCAATTTGGCCAAATGGAACCACATTTCTGACTTAGTCCCCTGAGTGCAGAGCTGTAAAGCGTCTGCTGTGCTTAGGCTTTTTGTTCTCTTTCTCTTTATTTGACCACTTCCCTTTGTGCTGAAAATCAGTCCCTTATGGCTACTGTCTGTTGACATCCTTATTTTTGTTCATAAACTTGGGCTGAGTGAGTGTCCGGCCCACAGGTGGGGATGCAGTCTCCGGCTGCAGGAAGGTTCCTTCCTGTCCGTCTGGCCTCCACAATCTGAAGGGCACGTGACGCACGGATCCTGCGATCCTGGCTTTTTGTGACACCCTAAACTTCAGTGGCCTGTAATGTGTGGCACAATGTGATAGGCCCTGTGGGAAGAGAGAAATGGACAGAAGACCCATGTCTGGCCCTTCAGGCACTTCACATGGCTCCTAGAATGATCTGTCCCTTCTTTTTAAAATGTTGTTTCTTTGGCTTCTCTAGGTCCTAGTGAGTATTATTTGTCTGGTTTCTCTTTCTTTACACTGTTGTGTTATTTGCTAATGACGCTTTTAAATACTGAACTACATAAAATCCAGAGTATTGCAAGTCTGCGTTTTCCCTCAGAGAAGATGTGCTCAGTTGGCCAATGATCCAATATTCTGCTGGCTTTCACAACAGAATAAGCAAGGCTTTCTAAGGTAAATTTGTTTTTACAAGGCACCCCAGGTAAATTCTGTGGCTTCACAGCCCAACAGGAAAGTAAAATCTTCCCCTGGGTTGGCAACATCCTGGGGAATCAGTGAGCCTTGGGGCCAAACGGGACAGCCTGGGAAGAAGAGGAAGGACCCTGAGGAGCGAATGTGACTGACATACAAATAACAACACATGTGGTTTTGCAGACTCACGAAGCCCTGGGAGACAAAAGTGTGAGTGAAATCCATTCTAGCAGGCAGGAGGGGCACCGGTTATGTGTTCCTCCGTAGCCATGCCATCATCCTGGCATTGCGTGTTCTGTTTTCCAGATTTTTCTTCTTTATTGTCTGTAATTTCGCGTGGACTGTGAGCCTCTGGTGCTCTTCCAACATGTTGCCAAAAAACTGCTGCAGCTGCAAGCACCAAGGGAGGGTGGGTCATGAGACAGAATAAGGCAACGTTCATGTGGAGGAGTAAATGGATTTTGCAAATGGCACGCACATGGTGGCCAGAGTAGGTAGGAAGGTGCGCTCCCACAGACTGTGTGTTCCTGGGGAGACCCTGCTTGAGAACAGGTGATGAAGACTACGCCTACCCTGAAGAATTAGGTGTAGACCAGAAGTCCTGTGAAGGGGGAGCTTCATCTATTTGATTCCCTGCTCTATGCCCCGGAGCACAGAGCAGGTGCTCAGTAATGACTCACCGAAAGCATACTGGATATTACACCAGATGTGTGGACAGACACACAGGAAGAACTTTTCTTATCTCAGAAAAATGCTGCAACTCCCAAGGCTCAAGACTGGCCCCTAACATCTGGACCCTTACAAGTGTTATCCTTTATTTAAGAATATTTAGAGAGTGGGCTTGTCCCCTGACCGGATTCCTTCATTGAGTCAGCTCAAGCCTTTAGTTATGGGAACATCTGCCGCAATATTATGTCTAAGCCAGACCCCAGTGAACTAATAAGTCATATTCCAAAAAGTCTGTTTCTGTGTCACTGGATTAGAACTTTTTTTTTTTTCTTCCAGATTTTTATTTCAATTCTAGTTAGTTACCACATAGTGTAATACCGGTTTCAGGAGTAGAATTTAGTGATTCATCACTTACATACAATACCCGGTGCTCATCATAACAAGTGTCCTCCTTAATGCCCATCCCCATCTAGCCCATCCCCCACCCACCCACCTTCCTCCATCAACCCTGTTTGTTCTCTCTTGTTAAGAGTCTCTCATGGTTTACTTCCCCCTCTTTTTTTTTTTCCCTTGCCATATGTTTATCTGTTTTCTTTCTTAAATTCCACATATGGTGAAATCATATGATATTTGTCCTTCTCTGACTGACTTATTTTGCTTAGCCTAATACCCTCTAGCTCCAACCATATTGTTGCATGTTCATTCTTTCTGATGGCTGAGTTATATTCCACTGTGTATCTATAGAGACCACGTGTTCTTTATCCATTCATCAGTCGATGGACATTTGGGCTTTTTCCATAGTTTGGCTTTTCTTGATAATGCTGCTATAAACAGTGGAGTGCGTGTACCCCTTAGAATCTGTATTTTTGTATCCTTTGGGTAAACACCTAGTGGTGCAATCGGTGGATTATAGGGTAGTTCTATATTTAACTTTTTGAGGAACCTCCATACTGTTTTCCTGCATTTGAATTTAGAACATTTGAGATGACAATGTACAGACGCCAGCTTACAAAATGTCACTTAAAGCCTAGTGTACTTGAAATTGAGGAGTAATAGGGCCCTCCAGCCTAATTACCATGTAAAAGAAAAGTAAGTTTCTTTTTATTTTAAGGTCTTATTTATTTGAGAGAGAGAGTAAGATCATGGGGGGGGTAGGGTAGAGGAGAAGCAGACTCCCCACTGAGCAGGGAGCCTGATGTGGGGCTCAATCCCAGGACCCTGGGATCATGACCTGAGCCGAAGGCAGATGCTTCACCGACTGAGCCACCCAGGTGCCCAATAAGTAAGTTTTGAGCAAAACGTGGGCTAAGGAACCAGGAACAAACCTCCTGCCCTCTCCCACAGCTGCCCAGAACCCTGTACCACCTGCAGTGTGTGGGAGGGGAGTAGGGGTCTGTGGGATTGTCAGTGGGGCTTCATGAATGCTGGTAGTGTGAGGCCAGGCTCCCGCAGGGTGCCAGACGAAGACCAGACCATATTTTCAGTATGATCCCATGAACAGATAGATGACAGCAGGACTATAATCTATAAATGATTACTACATTTTTGACAAGGACATTCACAGTAGCTAATTTACTTGTTTACAAAATGGCAAAAATTTCACCACAGCTGAAGGTATTTTTGTTTTTGTTTTTTAAAAACCAACTATCAGTGACTCTAGAGTTTTGGAACTCCGAGGACTACTAAATTTATAGGCACTTCATTCATTCATGAAACGACAAAACTTCCCTGGGTTCTCTAGACACAAAGATGAACGGAGGCCCTTCACTGCCAACACAAACTCGGCCTTCATTCTGGAGCCTTCCTTCCAGCATGTCTGGGTGCCCCTCCCTCTCCTGTCCAGGGAACCCCTGATAAGTCAGGTCCTGGCAGCTCAGCCTCAGGCAGGCCCAAACTCACACATAGAGAAGTCCTTCAGGAATTCATGATTCTTCCTCTCTCATAATAACAACTACATATCCGACTGCTTCTCTCTCTCTCTTTTTGGCTCCCAATCAAACTTCAGGCCTTTATGATCTATGTATTTATTGGTTTATTTGCTGGGGCAGGGGAGCTGATTTTCCTTTCTTCTTTTTTTTTTCTTTAAACCAGGTCGATGTGTGGAGTGGATGGAGCTCCCTGCTCCATAAATCCCCTTAATATCTTATCCTTGGATAGAGGATGTATGAGATATTAACCTGATAAGAACAGACACTACCCTTGATCTCAGCCAAAAGGCCAAGAAGTGATTGCTTTTCCTTCCTTATTTATACAGGCCCTTTCTGTTCATACTAATATAGTTCCGGGCTACAGTGTTTAATTTGTGCTCAGACATTTTTTTCAAAAAATATTTACTGAATCGAGATGAAATTGATGGACAATAAACCATATGCACTTGAAGTGTGACGAGTGAGTGGTACTCATTTTATATGCCTGTGAAACACAGAGCTAGGAGCTAGATACAGTAAAGTACATTTCCATCACCCACATATTCCTTCAGGCGCTCTGCAATCGAGCTCTCCCTCCATCCCAGGCAACCACTGATCTGCCTTTTGTCACGACAGACTATATTTGCATTTCCCAGAATGTGTCTGGTTTTTTTGTTTCTAACTCAGCATAATCATCTTGAGATGTATCCATGATATTACACAAACTTATTTTTTTTTTATTGCAGGATAGTATTCCCTGGTGTGGATATATTACATTTTCCTTATCTAGGCACCTACTCCTGGATGTGTGGATAGTTTCCAGTTCTTGGCTAATGTGAATAATGCTGCCATGAACATTTATGTAACAAGTCTTTGTGTGGATATGGGTTTTAATTCATCCTGAGTAAAAACCTAAGAATGGAACTGCTAGGTCATACATGTCTAAGTAACATTTTAAAAGACCGCCTGTTTTCCAAAGTAGTTGTACATGTTACCTTCTCGCTGGCAGAAAAAGAGAGTTCCAGTTGCCTTACCTCTTTGCCGGTGTTTGGTATAGTAAATCTTTCTAATTTTACCTAGGCTACTAGGTGTATAGAGGTTGTATTATATATTACCCTTGTTTTATTGTATGTGTGTGTGTTTGTGTGTGTGTTTGATAGATATTTGCTTTGGCCCCTTAGTTTACTTTCTGGATACAGGATCCCCTTTTCTTTCTGCTCCCCTAACCCAGTGCCTGTGGTTTGGGTGGGGCTGGCTCCAAATGCAGGCACATGACCCAGTCTGAGCCACTGGAGTATTTCACCCCCCACCCCCTACACTGGGCCACAGTAACTGGGGTATGTGGACCCAAAGCAGGACCAACCAGAGTCATTCCACAGGGCTGGAACTTGAAGTTGGGTGAGCAAGGACTCCTCCTCCTACAACTGACAGGGCTAGGGATAACAGAAGACTGGGGCTACGTTTGCCTCTTGTGCAGAAAGCCTGCCTAAGAAGACATTAAGCCAAGGAGGAAGCAGAGGCTAGAAATGGCAAGCTCCGGGTCGCCTGGCACGTTCAGTGGATAGAGCGTGTGACTCTTGATCTCAGGTTTGTGAGTTCGAACCCCACTCTGGGTGGAGAGATTACTTTAAAATCTTAAAAAAAGAAAAAGAAATAGCCAGACCCCTTCTAGGTTCTAGAATACAGGTCTGACAAAAATGTGGTCTCCCTCCTCAGGGAGCTTCTTAGAGCCTCAGGGAGCAGACTCATTTACACACCAATAATAGTATAAGGTGGTTAGTGCTATGATACAGGTATTCATAGGATAACTGAAGAGCATGCAGGAGGAGAGGGTGTAAATCAGTTAATTAAAAAATTCCTAGTCTAGGTGGTTGAGCAGGGTCTTAAAGGATAACTGGGAATCATCCAGCCAAGGACAGGCAGGGTGAAGTCACCCAAATCAGAAGGCAGGGCATTTCCAAAATCTGGAAAATGTGAAGCAACATGATAATTAAAGAAAATCTGTAAATGGTACAGCATCACTGGAGGCAAAGTGTTGGGGAGCGTCTCCTACACTCTGTGGTGAGGCAGGCAAAAAATGAAGCCAGAGAGGCAGGCAGGGGCCAGGTTATAATGAAAAGAGTAAAAATGTCTTCTCATCACTTGATGAGTTCCTGAAGCTTTGACAGCCGGCAAGGACTGAGGGCCGGAATGCCTAGAAGAGCAGCCCGGGGCCGAGAGTCCTAGCCAGAGGGCACTGCAGTCAAGTGAGGTGAGCAAGGATGGAGTCCAATCCTCTACCAGCAAGAATGGTCTCTATTTCAGGAGCAAGATGGAAAGCCATTTCCTGCACACAGTGAAAATAACCCCAACGGAGGCACGGAATATAGTTATTCCAATAAGCCTGTCGTTTTCAATTTTAGCAGCTCCAAATTACATGAAAAATGGCTTCTAAATTATCATTATAATTCAGGATATCTAAAGTACTTACCTCTGTGATCTGCAAGTCTGTACTTATGGTTCTCCCTATTATATACATGAGAGTAACCAGCGATTGTGTTCCGTACCTACAAAGCAACAAGATGCTAATCAGAGGTGGAAAATGTTTTGCAAGATAAAGCTGTATTTTATAGAGCAGGTAAGATGCTGAGTGCACAGCCCCTATTGATTCCTCCGTCCCAAATCTAAGCAACAACATGCATGAACTAGTTTAGCTTCATCATTTCATAGGAAATCTATTATAAAGAAGATTTTATCAGCACTAAGGAAATATTCATAGGTAAATATCAATTTGGGTCCACATAGTTCTGAAAGCTTTACTTAAATATAAAAAGCTCTTCTTAAAAACCGCAACCATTTTTATCTTTTTAAATGAGGTGGTTAAAACAGATGTCATGTACCTCAAATTAAGACAACTTAAAAGGGGTAAGTAAATATGCAAATTATGCTCCTTAAAAAACAGTAATTAATATGGGATCAGTTTCAGAAACTCTGCCTAACCTACCCTGAAAGCTTATTTAAAATTTTGTATTTGTATATGCTTTTTGGAGAGAGGATCCATGTCTTTGAAGATTCTCCACATGTTGGTGATTACCGAAGGGCTAAGTACTCTGGCTCCACTTTCTCGCCTTCAAACAGGCACTGTGATTGAAACTTCCCCTCTAGTTTTGAGTCCTTGAATGTCCAACAAGGATCATCCAGAAAAAAAACCATGAAACATTGTTATGGAGAAACAACAGATACATACCTGTCCGAAGGCTTGCTGTGGTTAAAAAGGTAAATAAAGACTTTGGGATGCATTAAAGAAGAAAGAAAATTAAAATAGGGTTAATGTTTTGGACCCAACAAGAAAGGGTTCAACTACCATTCTGTTCTATCGATGGTAGATAGTTAATACACATGATTGACTTACTTTAAAAAAGTATACTTGAAATTAAAAATTGCAAGAGTTGATGTTGGTATAATACTTCAAGGTAAAAGAACCTCTAACACCTGACTGTTCTCCGTTTGCTTGCACTCCTATTTCTCCATTCAGCTGTGTGCTCCCCATTATGAAACCCAACAAGGAGGAAGTGGGAATGTGTGCAAGCTTTCATGCTTAGCCAGTGTAAAAACATTTGAAGAAGAAATCAAGGCTTTGGTGAAAAAGAAGGGGGTAAGATTCATTTTAGGTCAGGAAACTGATCATACTTTGTATTCTATATTCAAATAAAACTAGGGTTTTCCTGGAGGCTGTGAAGCCTACATGGTTTTAAGAAAGCCAAAAGCAGGGGACACCCAGGTGGCTCAGTCGGGTGGGCATCTGCCTTCAGCTCAGATCATGATCCAGGGTCCTGGGATCAAGCCCCGCATCAGGCTCCCCGCTTCTCCCTCTGCCTGCCGCGCCCCCTGTTTGTGCGTGCTCTCTCTCTCTGACAAATAAATAAATAAAATCTTAAAAAAAAAAAAAACCCCAGAAGCACCTGACCAGGATGATAGGGCACAAACACCATTTCTACTGCCTACAGTAACAACTCATACAAGTCCTATTGCTTCATCTCTATCCACACATTCTTCCATGAGACCCATCCATAGCTGCAGGGCCAGACGCATCTTTCCCTAACCTGCAAGATGTCTTTATGGTCAGTGGAGGTTTCCTCACTGGGATCGGGACTCAAAAGATCATCTTTGGCCCGACAATGGACTTAAATACCCCACAGCCACCAGTGCAATGCTCCGGACACTGGAGCAAGGGGCAGGACCAAACTGAAGTTGTTTGCCTCAATACAAGTATTCCCAAATACAGTTTCAGATCAGGCTTCCTGGGAAGTATGTGGGGCCTGAACTGTTGCCGGCCAGAGCCCTCAGCTCTAACACTTGACCAGCCCCATCTCCTCCGTTCCAGAGCCCCGAGTTCCAGCCACCTACTGTGACCGGTCCCAAGTCAGATGCTCAGTCCTGCCCCCGGGCATTTGTTGGCATCCTCTGGTCCATGCAGAAGGTCATTTTTTTTTTTCCCACTGTTTGTTCAAATCCCACTCAAATCCCATTCTTCTCTTTCAGTCCCCAAATTTTCTCTGGCTCTCCTCTACAGCATTTCTCAGGTAGCATGTCCTCATCACCTTATATCCTTGACAAGAGGTTAAACTACCTGGACCTTGGCATGGAAAGATGATAACTGTTTATTACGAGAAAGAACCTTGGAATTGATCAAATAGGATGCCTTTCATTTTATATAAGAGGAAACCAAGACCAACATGTTAACTAACAGGCAAACAATAAACAGTTGTTGTTCTAGTTGCATTCCAGAGGGGAGTGCTGGAGAATTCAGTTTCTCGTTGGTTTCTCTCCCAGAACAACTGATCTCCTGGCAAAATGACATTCTGTTTACATGACATAGACGGTAAGTAGCAGGATTACGGCTGTAAGATGTAGGAAAAAGGTATGGAAAACTCTAGATTTTCTTCTGTGGGGCTTCTTGGGGTCTTTACGATGCTAGCATATACAGTGAATTTGCAAAAAGTGGAGGTTAACACAGATGGTTCCCAAACTGATCAGGCTACTGTCTTTCGTATTCCATGAACAATGCTCAGTGAAACATACCAGAGAAACACGAATTTCGCAGCTAACTTGCTAGGAATCAGTCACATTTCAGGAAGTTCAGAATAAGTCTTTTTCACATAATTAATGTAAAATTTAATTTGTCAGAGGCATTTGTGCACTGATCCTTTATGTTGTCTTTATTATTATAGGAAGACTGGTAACATGCTAGTCTTCATGTTAAACATAACTGTTTAAATAAGTGATGACTTAAATGTTCTGATGTACAAAGAAGTAAGCATTTTTGAGCCATTTTTAGGGTGTATAACATTTTGATTATTAACTTGCACTTTTATTTCCTAACAATCTATAAATATTATCATTGTTCATTCAAACAGAATCATTTGCACAATTCAGCAAGACTGATCAATATTACAATTACTATTAAATAAATGAGTAAAAAGTAAATAAAAAATGTATTAGATGTAGAAAGCAAACTATTTGAGTCTGAAAGACTTTTTGTAGCAGAATGTGTGAAAGGAGTGAACTGAGATGAATTTGCTATAAATAGGCATCTGTTTTATGAGCACGACATCTTGTTGATAAGGGATTAAAATATTCAAGTCATGGTTAAAAGCTCATATATTTACAGTTCTAGGAGCTTCTTTATTTTTTAAGATTTTTATTTATTTATTTGAGAGAGAGACAGAGCATGAGTGGGGAGGAGCGGCAGGGAGAGGGAGAAGCAGACCCCCCACTGAGCAGGGAGCCCGACGCGGGACTCGATCCCAGGACCCCGAGATCATGACCTGAGCTGAAGGCAGACACTTAATCCACTGAGCCACTGAAGTGTCCTATAATTCTAGGAGCTTCTTGAGGTTCAAAAGACCCATTTAGAGTTAAAAAAAAAAAAAAGTGGGGCATTCCATCCATTTAATATAGTACGTACATCATTGAAATAAATTGCCACCCATCACTTCTCTGCCCTTTGGTTAAAATCAGATGTAAATAAATTGCCACACGATGGACTTTCCAGAGAGTGTTACCAATGTGTTCCTGTTCTCTAAACACAGAAAAAAACAGTTCTTCTGAGGAATAAAAGTTAAAACACACTCCAAGTCACTTAAATTGAGAGCGATCTTTCCCATGAGTTGCTCAAAGCCATTTTGGGGGGTTTTCTCAGCACATGTGCTGTGTGTGCTAGAGGAAGAGGGGATGAAAAATGAATCAAGGGGCTGGTTTACCCCTGGGAGCATGCTGTCCAGCTGAACTCAGCAGTGATGGCAATGTTCTGTACCTGAGCGGTCCAGCATCGTAGCTGTTGGTCACTTCGTGCTCTTACAACAGGATTCGTGCAAACGTGGAGCTGGATTTTAAATTTTCTTTAATTTTAGTCAATTCAAATTTAAATTTAAAGATCCATGGATTAACCGGTGGCTATCATATTGAGCAGTGCAGCCTTAGACGATTTTTTTAATCAGGGGTCAGCTGGTTTCATGTTAAACCATACTAGCATCACCCAGGGAGCTGGTGAAAGGTGCAGATTTCCCGCCCTATTTTGGTGGATTCTGAATTTTAAGGGGGTAGGTGGGCTTGAGAGCCTTGAGGTGACTGAACCACTCTAGGAGATTTCTAATGTTGTGCCTGGGCTCACCATGTCACTTTGAGCCACAATGACAGTAAGTACGATCCTCAGCACTTAGAAGGACGTACCAGGGGCCAGGCGCTGCTAAATACTAAGCCTGGCTCAAAATCATGAAACTCTGTCTTCCTCAGGGCCCAGCAGTGCATAGGAAGGAACAGAGGAGATCACCAGTGGGCCCTCAGGCAAATCATCACACAGTTCTTAATGGAGCTGTGCTCTCAGCGTTTTAATTCCACAACTGCTCCTCGGGAAGGAAACAGTCAAGAACAATAGCTGAAGTGAATGCCCATGGGCATTACGAACCACAGCAGAAGGACAGATGGCCTCCTGGGCCAGGCAGAGCCAGACCTAGAGGGGGCACGCAGGGACGGGGCTTCTGTGACAAACTCCGGGGAGAGAGAACAGAAACAAAGAGACAACCCTGTGAGGCTGGAATCTCTGAAACCTCAGGGACCAAGGGGACCAATGTCAATAATTTTCATTTCAATCCTAGCTCCCCAGTTCCCAGTGGGACCTAGGAAGGAGGGCATTATCTTTAACGACTTAAGCAAAAATGGAAGATACCATTTACCCCCAAGGTCTTCGGAATCCGAGGAGATTTAAGGAATTCATAAGGCTGCCAGAGGCAATGAACTTAGAATGATAGATAATTTAACAGTGGACATAAGGTCAATTTTCTCAATAAGTGTGTTCTGCAATGAGCCAGGAAAATGGTACTATGCAAACAAGCTTTTAGCTACATGTTGTAAATTTCTGATTTAAAAGCACATTTTTTTGGTGTTTAAAGGAGTTCAATAAACATTTACAAAAGAAAAACTTTGCAGGATTTTGTTTTGTAGGAGAGCCATATTCATATTTTTTTTTTTTTTTTTTAGAGATGGGGGTGCTGCAGTGCATGGAGAGAGAGAGGGAGAGAGAGAATCTTAAGCAGGCTCCACGCTCAGGGACTCAGGGCTTGATCTCACGACCCTGAGATCATGTCCTGAGCCAAAACCAACAGTCGGATGCTTAACCGACCGAGCCACCCAGGAACCCCCCATATTCACATTCTTAAACATTTATATTCTAAATATACTTTCTGTTCCAAAAGAATAAACTTATCTATGAAAGGTATCTTCTGACTTTACAGGTGTTTGGATCTGCTAAGTATCTGCTAACTCTAGCAGATGTGAGTATTTGTAGGACGCATTATTCTAGGCTTTCAGGAATGTATGATTAAGTCATGTGCTAGAAAGACCAGCCATCAAGGGCATGCTGTCTGATTTTTGCATGTCAATGTACATTTTACCCAACAGGGGGCTACGAAGCAAGCAGATTTAATCTTAAAAGGTAAGAAATATGGAAAGTTCGAGAATATGGAACCCAGATACATAAAGGGAATCTGACAAATAAGACACAAGCAACAGCAATAGTCATGAACATTGTTGTTTCTTGAAATACAGTGATCTACCTCCCAAAATAAATGAATGGTTGGTGTGCACTCACACCAAAACAAACAAACAAACAAACAAAAAAAAAAACGATGATTTGTATTACTCTATGTCTCTGATGACAAACTTCTTAGTGGGCAAAGCCAGGAGACTGAGGTAGGTATAATCCCAGGCAAACCCATTTTCATACAGAAAGCCAAAACTGAGGGTAAGTGACCTTCTCTTCCACAAATGAGACTAAATGCAAGAAAAATCATCACTTCTCTGGTCCGTGCAAAGGACTTTTGTGACCTAGTCAGACTAAGGTTGAGCATCTAGCACCAAACCAATGACCAATCTTGCATTTCCTTCTTACCTTTCACTCACAGCTTGCCAGTTGTCGACTAGAAAGTCCTTTGCAATGTACCGGCCCACTTCAGATGCTGCCACAACCTCAACGATATTTGTTTCATTAAAAGCGAAAGGCGATGCAGTAATGGCGTACTCCATATATCTGCAAAAATGCATTTGCAGAAAATAAATGCGCAAACATTATCCAATAGAAAGAGCAAATTTCAACAAGTGGACTTAAAATCCCATATGGAGCTAAGTCAGGAGGGCACAAACAGGTATTCTTTGAGTTCCTATAGCAGCACATGTTCTATTTTTCTCCCTTTGGTATATTAATTGCATTCCTCCGCCAGGAACTCCAAAGATAAGTTGACCGTAATTACCTGTTAAGTATCCATGGGTCTTTACTGCAGCTCATTGCATAAGTGAGTTGAATCCTTTCTTCTTCCTTTGTTTTATTAGCGTACGTATTTAACAGAAAGTCCCATTCTTCCTCACTTCCCAAGGCGACGCCATAGCATAAAATTACACTTTTAATCGGAGAAGGTATTCTGTAAGGTAGAACATGCAGTGATATTTCTCATAGTAGTTACATGATATGTTTATTTAGATGTTATATTTTTAGAAGGATGTACCTAGAAAAAAAATGTTGAGGTCTCAGATGTAATGATCAAAAGTAGGGATCGAGAAAGCCAACTGTGGAAACTGTCATTAGCATTAATATCATGAGACAAGAACATCAGATTCATTTAGAAACTAAGGAGTTATAAGAAAGAAGGAAATTATAATAGTTCAATCAACATACACTGATAATTCAGCTTGGGCTCATATATATATATTTTTAAAGTAATCTCCACACCCAACGTGGGGCTCGAACTCATGACCCTGAGATCAAGAGTCAGATGCTCTACCGAGCGAGCCAGCCAGGCACTCCTTATCTCGTGTCTTATGATCACATTTCTTGAGAGTCCACCTGAGGTGATTCATTAGATGTAACACAGTAAAACCAGAAAGATAGTCTTCGTCTCAGCTCTCAGCGGGAATGCAAACTCATAGAGAATGAGCTCCTTGGACACACTTACGTATAAATCACAATAATAAGCCATTGAGGAACAACCGAAATAAGACTCAAGGTACGCACAAATGGGATGCCTGGGTAGCTCAGTTGGTTGGGTGACTGCCTTCAGCTCAGGTCATGATCCGGGAGTCCCAGGATCGAGCCCCGCCTTGGGCTCCCTGTTCAGTGGGGAGTCTGCTTCTCTTTCTGACCCTCCCCCATCTTGTGCTCTCTCTCTCAAATAAATAAATAAAATCTTAAAAAAAAAAAAGATACACACAAGTGCTTATTAGGGGACACACTGAAAATTAGCAGCCCAGGGTGACAACTCACTGCATGAATTCGAATCCACTGTCATACCCAGACCTACGGTAGACAATGCAAAAGAAAAAAAAGGGGGGAGGGGTATTTGAAAAAAATAGGAGACAGACTACCCAAGCAAAAACAAAACAATCACTCCCAGAATGAGAACATCGAAAAGGTAGAGAAATTATTGGTGTTGAAACAGGACAGAACCAAGGGCAATCCAATATGAGTCTTACTCATTCTCTGGATGGTTCACCCAGTTTTTGAAGAGTTCTCTTGACAGCTGAAGACAGTCTTCAAGGCCCAACCAGCATGCAGTTTCAAAAAGTTTTTCCAGGGCTACTCTTAAAGGAAAGCACAAAGAAAAACATTTTGTTTTGCTACATTTACTACATTTAGTTTTTTTCCTACTCCAAGTACATGTGTTTCATGAGAGGATGGGTGTTTTAAAATATCCTTCCAATAACATTGGTGTTTGTGAAAAAACAGCTTTTGTGGATGGCAAACTTATTTAAGGCTCAGAGAAATATTTGCTGAGAGGCTCTCAGGCACCAAATAAACTCCTAAGACTGGTATTTTTTTGAAAGTCGGAAATAAATTACTGCCATTCTTCATCTCCCTCAAACACACGAGGGAGTACACACACTCCACATCTGTTACCAATTTATTTTTCCTCCCTTTCTTACAATAATTGCCTTATGGATAGAAAGAAAAAAGACTTGAGAGTATTTGATCTAATACCCTCAAAAATGAAGTTCTTTTCTCTGTACACGGAAAGGAGAGGGAAGGGTTTCTTTCTCTTTTGTGCTTTCCCTTGCTGGAACTTCTGTTTCTTCCTCTGCTCTATTTGGCTGTTTATGTTCATGTCCAGATAAATAAGAGAGATTTTTGTTTTGTTTTGTTTTGACAGCTGAGCAGCGCTACACATTATTGTTCCGAACAAAGTAAGTTCAAAAGAATACGACGAAGAACAGTAATCAGTCCAGAGAAGCGATGCCTGGAGGTGTGCCTCTCCATACTCCCAACTCTCTCTGACTTGGATTCGGAGGTAAAGGAACTCAAACTGGCCCTAAGTTTCCAGAAAATGCAAGAGCCAAATCAGGGTTGCTTCACCCTCCATTTGCAACCTCAGCCTGGACTGACCTTCCGATAAGGAGAAGTCGAATGTCCAAGGGTGGAGGGCCTCTGAAAGACAGTTCTGAGCATTCATTTACCCGCTCCCTCCCTCTCCTTCCCAAGTTGGACACAGCAAGACGGGGTTTTCTATGAGTACACAACTCTCCAAGTTTACTCGGAAGACAACTGGCCCCAGGAAGCTACCAAAAAGCAGGTCACTTGAGTCCAATTTAGGAGAGCCAAGGATTATGGCTGGCTAACATCTGTGGTGCCCGAGTGAGCACACTTTTGCCCTCCGGTTCACGCACCCAACTTATCTGCCCACTGACTATCCTGCTAGTCCTCACCATCTCCCGTCTACGTGTCTAGTCAACCCCATGTCCTTCCAGTTGCCTGCCCTAGCAAGGAAATATCTCCCCTCTTGGAAGGATACCCTTGAGAGAGAATAATTCCATTTTGTCTATTTTGTATTTCTTGCTTGGTCTGATTGATTTCAGCCTGATACTGATTAGAGCTGTAAACATAATCCCTGTACCATTGTAGATAACAAATTCCCTCCCTAAATCTAGAAGCTCCCCTCATGTCTCCCCTCTCCCCCTACAAATCTTGAGTCACAGGAGGCTGGGGATACTGCAGCCTTATTTTACCTTTTACCCCCTTCCCAGACCATCATGACAACATGCTTACCGCCCTCACCAAACCAATAATATGGAAATCATTGGCAGTACTTGCTCATGCTCACACACAAATGACTAAAATATTTCAGGCAACGTCTCTCATCATATTTGTGTAACGAATGGCAGAATTTCTGTCACCAGTAACATACAGAAAGGACTTTTTTTCTCTTGTGGCCTCCCCATGCCTTCCAATTCATTGGTATAGGCTGGTTTTAATCAGTACAACCCTTCACCAATGGTAGGACACACTCACAATCTCAACCAGTGGCCTAAGATTTGAGAATACAGAGCTATCGATTCCTGTGTGTCCATGCGTGTACTTTGCAGGTAAATTAAGATCCCAAACTACTATTTCCTACTGGGGAACGTGTAGCTCACCCATCCCAAAGACACTGGTCTCAAGGAGCATACAAAATCTCCCAGTTAAATCATAGGTATCAAGGTCTTCCTAATATACATCTGGAAGCCTGTCTCTTAACATGAATCATTTTATTCAATTATAAACTGAATTGAATATAAATTGAATATACATCTTCAATACAGAAAAATCAAAAAATACTTACAGGGCTAAATAGTCATCTTGTAACACGGCCACGTTTTCACGAATGACAGTTGAATACATATTCCATATCGAGATAAGTCTCTTTAACAGATACTTCTATAAACAATAAGGAAAATCTACAGTTAGCTATGGCTCACAGCACTGAATTTGCACTGTATTTCTCTTTCTCTGAAAAGACAGGAATAGAGGAGTGACAGGTATCTCCTGAGAAGTTGTCTTTGTTACTAAACGTGTAACTGGTTGATTTTGTAGCCTCTCTACATTCAGGTTCCTCATTGGTACAATGGATGCCAAGAATACTAATAGTACAGTTTGGTGAGGACAAAACAATATTACATATGTGAATAGGCACTGCGGAACGTAGGAACTCGGTAAATCTTAGCTCTTATTACCATTTCACATCACCTGGAACATTTTCAGGTGTGTTCAAAATAGAGACAGAAACATAAAATTTTAAAACCATTAAAATTTCTACCTTAACATCCCCATGCTTCATATCCACACCTCCAAGAAAAATTGGGACAACTGATTTATGCTTTGGACAATTTTAGGCCTTGAGTCTGAAAAAAAATTTCTTCAATTGAGCTCTCAGCTGGTGAATAGCAAGGTTATGAAAGTTATCCATTTACAATACATCCCTAAGAACGAAGTAGATGTTATTCATTGACATTCATTAAAAACAAATCCTAGGGCACCTGGGTGGCTCAATTGGTTAAGCCTCTGCCTGCCTTCAGCTCAGGTCATGATCTCAGGGTCCTGGGATCGAGCCCCACATCAGGCTCCACACTCAGCAGGGAACCTGCTTTTCCCTCTCCCTCTCCCTCTGCCCCCTCCCTGCTTGTGCTCTCTCTCTCTCTCAAATAAAAAATAAATAAAAACAAATCCTAGTTTTTACTTCTTTACCCAGAACCAGGCGTCAGAGTTTATCAATGAGCCACCTTGATCCCACAGCTAAGTGCCTTCTTTCCTGGGTCACCATCCCCACATGCAAGGATGTTTCCACCAGCTCTTTGGACAGCAGAGGAAAGAAAGTCTGGACCTGTGAGGTATTTGTGATCTCGCCTTCCAACTGCCCCAGAAGCTTGCTTGGAATGTTCTTCTGGCCCACTTTCTGGTTTGTTTCTGGTCCCTAACTCTCCAAAGGGCTGGCCCCTAACTGTTGCTTTGGTTTGCCCTGAGCCATCTTTCTTACGATCACTGTTTAAGATCTAATAATGGAAGTTTTCTCCTTTTCTATTGTTTCAGTTATGATGGTGTGTCATTGTTTGATGAATTCCCATTTTCCTCTCTCACTTGCCAGCAGTAAAAGCAGCTTTAAAATGTTTACTTTTTCTGGAACATATCTCTCTGGTGAAGCACTAGTCCTGTAGTTCAGAGTATTTCAATGATGAATATAGGGTTCTTAAAAATCTTTCCGTTTGACTAACAATCTTTTAGGAGAATAGTTGCTATCAGAGAAAAGGCATACCATTTCCATCCACTTCTGGGTTCTTAGGGAACACTGTCACTTCACCAAGAACTAGAGGCCTTTCCAAACTTCTCTCATACTCATCTCCTAGACCAGGTCTATGACTAAAGTATGACTAAGAGTAACCAGCCATTCCTAAGAAAATGAATACATATTTGGAACTCATAGACTATGACTTGGGGGAAGAGGTGTTTCACAGATGCTGTCTAGTTATGGAAAGAGGGAGAGAGGACTTTTTTTAAAACCACACAACAAAGAAGGAAATTACCTTTAATAATGGGTACATATCATAGCTGTTCGCATCAAAAACAAGATCCTTGGTTACCAGGTTCACCAAGACCGCGTACCATACTATGATTTCATCTTCTTCAGCAAGGTACTTGGTTAAATCAAGGGCTGTTTCAATCTCAATATAATTGTTTCTGTTTGGTTCAAAAAAAATACACACTCAAAAAACCTCCACTCGCTAAATAATTTGCACACTTTCCGTACTTGTCCCATGCTTCGACGCCTGACTTTAATAAAGTATGTGAAATCAGGAAACTAGAGGTCCCAGCTCCTTGATAAGGTAGGAGCCAAGCAATGCTGACAGACCCTCCACTACAATTTGGTACATTCAAGTGCCCCAATTTTTGGAGACTAGAGGAAAATCCAGGCCAACTCTTGGACTGCTCAGCGGGCAAAAGAATATTTGTGCATTTTGTACGCATTCTTATGAGATTATAATTTCCATTCAACAAGTATTGATTAGAAGTCATTATCTAATGCTCTGCCAGATACTCACAGGAACACAAACTAGTGTGTAGGACACAACTCCTGCCTACCCTTGGGGATCTTATTCTTTCAGGGAGAAGCTGAGACTTAGGCATAAGAAGCTGTTAATGAGTCCGAGAAAAGGCAATGAATATAATAAAAGCAGCAAAGAAGGAAAACCCATGCATGTGATGGAAAAGTCAGGGAAGGCCTCCTGGGAGGAGGAAAGTGAGAAGGGCAGTGAAGGCTGGATAAGATGGAAACAGAGAGAGAGAAAGAGGAAGGCTGCTTATGACAAAGAAGATAAAGTGGGAATCTGTGTGATGAGCAGGCCAAGCCACCGAGATGCAGGATTTCTTCAGTGTAGAATTGAGAGGTCAAGCTGGGAAATAAGGTGGATCAACACTGTAATGAGCCTTGACTGTCAGGATGAAGAGTTTACATGGAGTAGGAAGGTATTTAAACAACACGGGGTGACATCACGAAGTAGATGCTGAGAAATTTTATAGCCACTGTGCTGAAGAAGACAGAATGGAATTTAAAGGAACTGAAGGCTGGAAGCTAACATAACAGGCTAAGTAAAAGATGAGGAGTGCTTGGCTTAGCATGGAAGCAGTGAAGGTGGTAAGTAAGGGAGAATCCAAAAGACATCCTCAAGAAAGAAGAGATAAGACAGTTGGCAAATGGCAGATGGAGAGAGAGAGAGAGAGGAGTCAAGGATGTCTCAAGTTTGGGTGACGGGAAGAATCGTGGCACTCTGACAGAGAGTAATTGATAGCAGGAGCAATTCAGAGACAGAAAGAAAGTCCACTGTGTAAGGTCCTGAGTTTAAATGATCACAGTATATGCAGAAGGCAGGAGCGGACAGGGAGAGATGTAGACTTAGAAGTCATGAACATATCCCTTCACAAAGCTTTACTGAGTAGCCTGTATCTGCTGGGCACTGTATGTGCCCATAATAAAATGATCTCTAAAACCATAAGAATGCATGAGCCGTCCCAAGGAAAGAGAAAAGAAAATGATAGAACCATGATTGGTCTGAAGGGAGCAGGGAGAAAAATCAGACACAAGGGGAGAACCAGGTTTGTGTCTGAGAGTCTCCAGAAACCAAGAGAAGTTTCCTGAAGGATATCGTCAACAGTCTCAGAGTCATGGTGCTCCTAGAGAGGGGTTTCAGCAAAGCCGTGGGTGACGAAATGTGCTGCAGGTCAGAGGGGGAAAAGTGGTAGAGAAATGAAGGATAAAATAAACAGACATTCATTCAAGAAATAGGACAGGCCAAAGACAGAGAGAACACACTGGATAATTTATTATATAGACTCCTTAATTTTATTGTCGGAAAATTTAAATTTTGGACACATAGGAATTTATCTGGATGAATAAATGTATTGAATAAGTGTAATAGAAATAAAATCTATATTTCTGTAGTACACTAAAACATAGGCCATATCTCATTAAAATTATACCTATAGCCATCACCCTAGGGTAAAAAAATCACTTCAAAATCTCAATTGATAGTCTATTTTTTTTGATATGTCAGCTATGTCCTTAACTTACAATATCACAGAAAAATATGAATGCATCTACAACCTTCCTAAATGTATCCCTTTTGATATTTAACAGCCTTTACAAATGCAAGCCCAAATCACTTGTATTTTCCCCTGAGTTTTTTCTTCCCGATGGAAATTTAAAAAATAAAAATTCTAATACTTTCTGTGATAATCCTCCAAATATTTAAACACGATAACGTTTTCCTAGGTACATCTTCTCTACTGCATCCTTTTTAAAATTTCTCCTTTAAAGGGGCTCCTTTTAAAATGCCGACTTACATTTTCATCTTGTAAAACTGAAACTTGGTCCCCATTAAACACTCACTCCCCCAATCTCCCCCCAACCTGCCCCCGGAAACCACCCTTCCCTTTTGTCTCTAGGATTCTGACTACTCCAAGGAACTCATATAAGTGGAATCATATAGTATTTATCTCTTTGTGACTGGCTTCCTTCACTTAGCCCAATGCCCTCAAAGTACATCCACGGTGATGTCCATCCCAGCAACTTCTATGTTCTAAAATTCCACTGTACCCATGGAACTTGATCCTAATCTGAATAAGTTGGGCCCTGTATATACTGAAGAAGCAATTTCACTGCACGGTGATGAGGCTGTAAGGTTTTATTACATTCTCAAGGTACACTTAAAAGCCAGCAGTGAAGACAACATACTCACTTAGACAAGGAAAAGGCATCGTCAATCAGCTGCAGCCTGTGGATAACAGGAATGGCCTGCAAATTAGATCCAAATTTGGGCAGGAAAAAATGAGAACATTTCTTAGCCATAAAATAATTTTGCAAAATCATAACAGTGTTTCAAGATCAGGGTCGCTTACGAAGCCCTTTTACGTGGATTGTCTCACGCACAGAGAAATGGTGATCACTGAGGATAGTCCCCATGATTTATTTATTATACATCTGCTTTTGATAAATGATCCCTCCGGACATCAGTCATAAGTCTTTCATCTGGCAGAGAGTTTTGCCAAAAAACTCCCTGAAAAACATGGCATGGTGAAAACAAAAATGGGAAGTCATGTTTAAAAGGCTCGCCAGGATAGAGAGTGTATGTTCAATTGTATTACACAGTCCAAATAGCTGTCAGGAGAATTTTTGGCACGAGAAGCCTTAAATATGTATTATTTAGCGCTATTTTGGTAACACTGATGTCCTCTGAGTGGTGTCCATCTTGTCAAGATTTTACTAATTTGACCCAATGCCACCAACAGAGCTCTTGGAATCACAGAAAGTCAGGGGTCCATTCCCAACCCAATTGCTTAAGGCTGGGCTTGAGCCCCTTGGCATGGACAGGCCACAGGACTCTCTCTCAGTTAGAGGGGCCTCAGGGGCCCAGAGCCTCCTGTCCCCTTCCTTCAACACCTCACGCATTTTCATGGGTTTTGTCCCAGAAAATCCATCTTCACAACACTCGCTTTGAGCTTCTCAGCAAGCCAGACTTCAACCTTTCCTTGGTCTCATTTCTTTTCTGGCAGTAATAACACTTCCATTTTCAAAATTAATATTAATAACAGACACGCTGTTTTATTTGCTCCCCAATTATGTAGTAGAAATAATTGACCTCAGTTTTTCAATAAGTAAGTCTACAATGGTTTCCAGAAATCATTGCTAGAATGGCATGCCCTTGCTTGCATGGCTTACAGTGCCCTTAGAAACCAATAAGAGGGTAGCTACTCTGAAAAAGATTCGAAAATAAAATGTTATGATGTGTGGATTTTGGAGCCTTATCCACAAGCCTCCTAATACATTTTTTTAAATTACTGAACATGTTCTGGTAGGGAACTGTGTCCCGCCTCTGTTAAACATGATACACGTATCACCTTACTAATCTTCACAATTCTTTATTTAATATTGGTCTATTAAAACATCATTAGATAGATGGGAAAACCAAGGCATGAACACAAGTCTACTAGACGCAGAAGCCAAGCTCCGGACCAATACACTGAAGGTCATCTTCTGCTAGAGAGGTTGTTGCGTGTTTCAGAGAACTCTCGAAGACAGAGACACCAAAGACATCTTTTCGTTCAACGCTCTAGCTTGAAGAATGGTGTCTCAGTGAACTAACTGCCCGTGGTTTGGGGGCAGAGCCAACTCTAGAGACTCTAACACCAGCATCCATCTCCAGCAATGGAGATTTGGTTTAATTCAACCAATCAAAATCTGACTGACCAGAGCTAGCCAACATTTTAATATTTATATAAGGGAGAATGACTTATGTTTGCTGGTAAAGTGGTACTAGAGTCTATTGATATTTGTAAACTAAATTCTCTGAGGGAGAGTAAGAATATAATTTTTTTTTAAAAAAATTAACACTTTCTAGCATAGACTGGGTACCCGTTAAGGGCTTAGAAACCGCAAGCATATGTTTACCTACATTGTCTCTAGTCCTCATGATAAGTAACAAAGCTGTATTGATCCCATTTAAAGTGAAGAGATGGAAACAGAACATTTAAGTAACTTGTCTGAGATCACAAAACTAATGGTTAATTGGAAAAGGTATTCTGATTTTTACCTAGAAAGGTAAAATGGCCGAAAAAAAATGATATTAATGTTCAAAAGCCCAATACATTGAACCTAAATCTGCCCTTTCTAAGAATGAGGGAAAAAATCCAGTATGGCTTGGGGTTAGAGAAGGCAGTGAGGACAGAGTCTCTTCTCACCAGGGGTTTATGAAAGCTTGACTCTACAGGACTTAAGAGTGCATTATTAATGATATTTAATAATACATATAAAAAGCAACCTTACCTTAGGATCTTTTTCAAGCTGTTGATTTAGCTTCTTCCAACCTAATGTATCATAGTTAACTCTGTAATATCCAGTCATATTCAAATTTAGAATCACCCAGTCATGATCATAAGCTGAAACTTGCATTTCGGGGAATATTTCTACAAAGGGATATGGGAAAAATGTGAAATGGTACATCTAAAAAAATTTTCCAGTATATGCTTATACTATATCTTCTTAATCCTCAACAATAAACCCAATGCATCCAACAAAAAGTAAAGGAATTCTAAACTATATACTGATCTTACCATATAATTGTATTTTTTTCACATATAATGGCTTTTGATTTGAAACTTCTTTAAAGCTCTCTATGTTAAATAATATTTTAGTTTTAAACAAGATAGCTTTTCAAAGGCTGTATGTTTCAACATTTTATTCTCTGCCTTTATATATGTGTGTAATATATATTCATGCATATATGTGAAGATATTTTATAAATCTTACTTACTGCTGCTTTTATCTAGCCAGACTAGAGACCGTGTAATTCCATTTTTTATCCAAAGAATAGGTACAATCCATGTGTCACTTATTAGGAAGAAACCAAAAATTCAGTTAATTTTCATACATAAGATATAAACTCTGAGCCCATATTAACTGAGATGATAAAATGACAGGACTCAAATTCTTTGGTCATGCCCTCTGGATAGGCAAGGGTTTGCTCTTGGGATTATTCACTGTTGTTTTTATAAGCTGTTTTTTCTTTGGCCGTTTGTTTGTTCTCTATTAGTCTGTCTTCCTCTTTACTTTTTCTTATAACTTAAGGTAGCTACTAAGACAATCTTGTATCTGAATCTTTCTTTCTCTCTCTCTTTCTTTCTTTCTTTTTCCTTCCTTCCTTCCTTCCTGTATCTGAAACTCTCGAGACCTGATTATATTAAATTATAGCCACTTGGCCTCACTCAGGGGTTGTTCAAATGCTGCAGACAGACCGAAACCCATCCGTGCCAAGAGAGGCAAAGAGTAATTTCAGAAGAAAAAGCTTGACAAACGTTTTAAAATGCTTTTCTGCCTCAAGCTTTCTCCCCATCTGAAAAGCATTCAGCACGGATCAGCCAGATTATTCATATTTACTGAATGCCAACATTCTTCTCACATTGGTGGACGTGACCTGGAGGAAGGAGATGACCATAGGAGGACATTAGTCATCTGAAGAGTCACACTTCCTTGGGGTTTGGACAGGACTTGCAATCTTGCTCAAATGCTCACAAGTCTGGTTTCTCAAAGACTTTGAATGAGGGTCTGTGTTGATCTAATAGCTAAAGCACACATCTTCTCAAAAGTTACGGAATCGTGATGAGCACATGGTGACATATGCAAGTGTTGAATCACTACATCATACACTGGAAACTAACAGAACACTGGATGTTAACTAACTGGAATTAAAATAAAAACTTAAAAAAAGTCACAGAAGAGCAGACTGAGTAGGGACATTCAGTTCTGTTTTTCTTCCCTGGGGTTTTAAAGAAAGGGCAGGATGACCTCCATATTTGGGTGATGGTATTTGGAAAATTACTCCCTCATTTACACTGATACTTAACCACAGTGAGATGTGGACAACAGAACGTTATCCAAAACACTTGAACATCGTCTGACAAGTTAAGGAAGGGAAGGGAAGGAGAGAGGAAGTGATGAACACTAGCTTTATACTCAGTTTTTCATTTCCTTTTGACAGCAATCCCCTGGGATAGACGTTGCTGCATTTGCTTTACAGATAAGGCACTAAAACTCAGAGATTTTATATCAGACTTACCGAAGGTTTGAATTTTGGTGAGGTTGATATTTAAACCCAGGTATAAGGGAATCCAAAGGCCATAATTCTAGAAGTATAGGCGTGGCTACCAATACACACATACGTGCACGTGCGGACATGCGCGGAACTATTCCTCAAGGACCAGGAACCATTCAGTTCCCTTTCTAGGGGGAAAAAGAGACGACCTTGCAGCCGGATCCCCTTTTCTCTTACTTAACATGAGGCCATGCAGGGTTCTATTTGACTGCCTCTCACCCAGAATCCTGAGTAATTCATTACTTCTGTCTGAAGGACAGAGAGGATACATAACCCCTCACAGTTTTGGTTGCTGGCGTCATGCTAAATGCCGGGGGTGGGGCACTGCCTTGAATCCCCCAGTGCAAGTCTCTGGCCTCGCTCAGGACATCAGGGGTTCCACCTCATCCTAGCACCCCAGGAACACCCCTCGCGGAGCACAACGATGCCATCCCAGAGCCCCACTGCAGAAGAGTGGTACTCAGCCCGGGGTTGTGCTTCCTCACCCGCAGGCTGCTTTCCATTTGATCGGAGCTCAACCCCAAGGAAGGTGAAGGCAGAGGAGCAAATGTACCTACTTGTGGGCTAGGAGAGTCTCATTTTTAACCTTTCCAAGATAAAATGGCTCTTGTTTGATGGCACCAGTGGATACATTTAAGGTGATAACTGGAAAACCACTCTGGTGGGTCCAACTGTCCATTATGCTTTTTACTGTCGCTGGCAAAAGAATTTTATTCTGGTCATCGATGACCTGTTTTTAAAAAATCATCACAAGAGCAGATATTTACCATCAAAATCTTTTCAGGTAGCAATCGCCCAAAAGAAACTACATGGCTGGCTATTCTATTCCTCATTTATACAGTAATCCTCAGTGGGTGATATTCGGGGCCAAATTCAGACCTCTGCTCAACTCTCTATGTGAATGCTTCCTTCGTTCATTCACTCACTCACTCACTCATTCATTGAACATGCATTTCAGGAAGTAGGACAATTACCATTTGAAAATGCCTCCATAAATCATCTTGCTCAGCATTTGAGTAAGAAAATGTCTTCAAATATGACTGTAAAAAATAGAGAAGTTAAAAAGAATGGAAAAGTTAAGGTTAAAATAAATAACATGCCCAAAACAATTTATGTTTCCTGCCTTCTAGGAAACAATTTTGTAAACTCACCTTGAGTGCACTGAGAAATAAATTCTCATTCAGGAAGCTAGAAAGCATTCGGGCCAAAGATGCTCCCTAAGACAAGAAACAGTCCACTGTTTGAGCAAATTCAGTATATAAATACTGACACATTCTATTTTGATAAGCAATATTCTGGGGTTTTCTCCCGATTGTATTGCGTACTTCAGCTGAATGTTTGGGTTATCCCCCAATATGCTGATAAAATAGTAGACTGTCACTAACTAACAGGTAAAAGGTGAACAAATGTTCTTCGTATAAAAATTCAGGATACACAAAACATTTTAAGCTGAGATATTTACATGTTAAGGATAAATTTCTACCAAACAGAAGGGTTCACCTTAAAAGTAGCAAGTTGCCTCAGTGTTTTTATAATGATGGATTTTACTGAGCACCTAATATGGACTTGAATAATAGTTGCTAGATGATGATAGATTTAACCACATTTTCTGAAACCCATCTGCTAAATAAAATTACGATTATTTGCATCAAAGTTTGTATAGTATATATTAGTCTATTATTCTTAGAGTCCATTTTATGTACCTTACTGCAAGAGTGCAAAACAAAAGGAAATATAGAACTGATTTTACCTTGTTGTAAGTAAATAAGTCAAAGAGCTCATTTATTTCACTGGTTTCTGTGAAATTTTCTACCTTCAAGGACACAGCTCTAGACACCAGGGCGTGATCTTCACTGAGGACATTATGTAAAATGTTAGAAAAAAAGATCTCATTCTAAAAGGAAAAGATTGAGCAACATTAACTTCTTCGGTGTCACAGAAGCACAAAATTCAAATACTTTCAAAATACTTTCAAAAAATACTTTCAGAGGCGGGTGGGGGGATGGTTAGCCTGGTGATGGGTATTGAAGAGGGCACGTATTGAATGGAGCACAGGGTGTTACACGCAAACAATGAATCATGGAACATTACATCAAAAACTAATGATGTAATATATGGTGATTAGCATAACATAATAAAATAAAATTTAAAAAAAATACCTTCAAAAACTGACACTGAAGAGGGGAAAAATTCATTCAGATATGCTCTGCGAGCTGCCATATGCCAAATACGTCAGGATTCCTTGAGTAACAAAACTCTAAGATACTTTCCTTCCTATTTAATACCCTTTTTATTTCCATTTTTAAAAACCCCATTACAGAAGTCAACATGTTTTCCAAGAGAGCTATCTACATTTCCCCAAAGGAGGTCCCCAATCACACAGACAAGACCCTCCAGGGAATAGCATCTCTAGGTGGTTTTAATCCTCTAGAATTGTACTGGTAATTTTATTCGTAACCCCTTAAAATGGGTCAGCCTCTCTTCAGTGAACATTTACAGACCAAAATGCACCAGATTTACAAATTCGATGATGATATCATAACTTGTAATTGGAAATAAATCCATGGGCTGGATGCTACAGTTTCTAGATCATGCATTATGAGAAGGCAATTTATTATATTCGAGTAAGTACAGAAAACTAGACCTCTCTCAGACAGAGGACAAGGGCCTTTTCTTTTTCGAAGGAAAGGTAGAAGAAAGACCAACGTACAACCAAAGAGATGTGGGACATGGCAGAGCCAAAGAAAGGATAATGGCAAAGAAACGGCACAGATAGCTGGCTCCCACCCTGCAGAGGTGGGCGAGCCCCCTCATAATCCACAAGCAGCCTCACCTCCCTAGCGGTGGTTGACTCCTTCAAATTCTGCCCACTTCCACTGGCCAACGTTCCAAACAACCCTCCCCTCTTAGCATATTATTTTCAACTTATTAACACCATTGATTAGGCTACTGTCAAACTCAGCTCTTCCAGAAATGAGACAGCCTGTCATTTAGAGCAATACGTCTCAAACTTTAATGGGAATAAGGATCCCCTGGGGATTTGATTGCTTCATATGTGAATGCAGTTGGTCTGGGTTGGGGTCTGTATTTCTAATCAATTACCCGATGATGCTGATATTGCTAGCATGACAATCCCGCTTTAAGTAGCTAGGAGTTAGAGGAGACATTTGTGTAAGTCTGATCTTACTCATTCAGTATAGGTTTTATTAGTTTAACACTCAAGTATTCTTAAGAGTGTCTCACAGTTGACCCATGTGTCCTCGAAGTACAACGTGGAAAACAGAGGAAATAAAAAGGACCCATAATCCTATACTCCAAGATAGTCACCATTAGAATGTCAGTACTGTTCTTTCCAATCTCTTTCCCTATGTATTTATTTATTCACATGGACGTAAAAACTTTTGTCCTGCTTAATTATTATGACATTCGTTTACAAATTCTGTTACCTCATCTTCATAACTATCCCTAAAAATGGCTACTGCATTATAAATGAAACATGCATAATCTGGAAGGAAACAAGCCAAAACTTAATAGTGAGGATCACAGTGTGGTCAAATCACATATGACTTCCTTCTTCCCAGAGTAGAGCAGATAACGCTTCTGTAAAAGCAAAACATTAAAACAAATAAATGCCTGGTTGCAGAATGGCCCACTGAGTCCATGAACCATAACTGACTTCATCATTTCCCTATTAGCTAGATATTTAAATCGCTTCCAGCTTTTTACTGTTTTAAACAATATCTTAACAAACACCTTTATGTATAGCCTTTTGCATATTTTGTGAATTCCCTCCCTCCCCCTCAGAATGGATAGTCTGTCTTCTGTCTGCCTGGTGTAAGATCTTCTATCATCTTCTTGGTATCTCTCTCATCACACAAGTTAACTGTGATGAATGGGGCAAATACCTTTTCCTCAACATCCCCAAATCTTTCTCCTCTGGGCCTCCCATAAGGTGACTCTTGTCCCAGCCTGTTCCAATCCTGCTGGAGGGAAACACTTACACAAAATTATGTTAGCCTTTTAAAAAATCATATTTGGCCACTGAATACAGTGATTGGGGAAACTGAGTCTGTATATCTACCATTACTTTCTTCCTGCAAGCTGCAAGAGTCTAGAAAGACCTCCTCCTACTAACTCATTATCCTAAGAAATATAGCAGTATTTATTATAATAAATTTACATGGAATATCACTGTGGTTAAAAGCACAGGCTTTGGGGCACCTGGATGGCTCAGTCGGTTAAGCATCTGCCTTCAGCTCAGGTCATGATGCTGGGGTCCTGGGATGGAGTCCTGCATTGGGTTCCCTGCTCAGCGGGGAGTCTGCTTCTCCCTCTCCCACTCCCCCTGCTTGTGCTGTCTCTCTCTCTCTCTCTGTCTCTGACAAATAAACAAATAAAATCTTAAAAAACAAACACACACACACAGGCTTTGGAGTTGAGCCATGTGTGTATGAATCCTACCTTACCCTCTTTAGACTTGTGTTACTCGTAAAAGGAAACCAACTCTAGCTCTCTGAAACTCGGTTTCTCCATCTAGAAATGGAGGAAACAACATTGTCCTCCTTGGATTATTTTCAGGACTAAATTAATTTACATAAAGGTCTTAGCACAGTGCCTGGCAAATAGGACCTGTTCAAGAAGGTTTAGCCACTTGCAATTACTTATCATCATCATCATTATTTCTTTAGAGTTGTTTCAGTATTGAATCAGATAATGTAAACAATACTCTATAAACACATGAGCACTTGGTAAATAAATAGTAGTTGTCATGATGTTATGTAGTAGATAACAATGCGTTGAATGACAGCATGAAACTTTACAAATGAGAAACTAAAGCTCAGAGGTGTTCAACTTACAATGATTCTTATTTTTTTAAAGATTTTATTTATTTATTTGAGAGAGAGAACACAAGTAGGCAGAGAGGCAGAAGGAGAAGCAGGCTCCCCACCGAGCAGGGAGCCCGATGCAGGGCTTGATCCCAGGACCCCGGGATCACAACCTGAGTCAAAGGCAGATGCTTAACCGACTGAGCTACCTAGGTGCCCCACTTACAATGATTCTAAAACCAGAGTAGGATCTGACTGGCTGCACAGCTCCAGGGTGCCTTTCCCTCCACCAAAACTGCTGCTTCCTTAGCCCAGGCATAGGAAGAGAGACAGAAAAGTCAGTGGGGGGGGGGGGCAGCATCAGAGCTGGGTCAAACCACTGGTCCCCAAAGTTTTCTGAATCTGTGACCATGACCCATTCATAACACGTTTTAATGACTTTCAGCTGACATTAGACCAAAAAAGAAAAGACGGAAATCTGTTTCTGCATATGGCTCTGTGATTCTCTTCCCCAACGTCAATTTAATGACCAGGTTAAAAGGAAACCGAAGCTCTTGATCTCTCAAAGATCATTGAACTAAGGCTTTCAGCTTTTAAAAATCAAAGCTCAGGGCAATTGCCTCAAGCGCCAGGATCTGATGCTCTTTTACCAAGGGTTATATTCACTCAGCTCCACAGACACTGAGAAATGTAGACTCACTACAGAGTGATTAAGGGGGCGCCTGGGTGGCTCAGTCGGTTGTGTCTGCCTTTGCCTCAGGTCGTGATCCAGGGTCATGGGATCGAGCCCCGCGTCGGGCTCCCTGCTCAGCGGGGAGTCTGCTTCTCCCTCTCCCTCTGTGTGTGCTCTCTCACTCTCTCTCAAATGAATAAATAAAATCTTTAAAAAAAGTAAAGAGCAATTAAGAAACCAGTGATTAAAAGAGGTTAATCTTATCATCTTTGCTTCAAAAACACTAGCAATATATCTTCATCAAATTTTCCCAGATTATGACAATACCTTAGCCAATTTCAGTTGCATTAAGAGGTAACTGGTTGATGTTAATGATATATTCTATTCAATTAAGAAAATAAAGGGTGAATCTAATTGTTTCATGAGGATGGAACTGCTTTTCTTATTGAATCCAAGCAGAGTTAATTGGGGATACATCCAAATGCTTTCATAAACAGTTATCAGTGACATGAACCATGCATAGGTTCTATCTTATAAAAGAGAGATACAAACAATTTTATAGCTACAGAGTATATGGAAAGGACTTTTGAAGACAACTAAGGTTTACTCTAAATATATAAAGTTTATATAAATGAAGAGAGTCATATAATGAACTCCCACACACCCCCTATTAGCTCTCAGGGGACAAGAACACCGCCATGTGTTTTCTCTGCGGAGCACATTTGGGTGAAGGTGTAACTGTGGAGCTAGAGACATCTGGAACTGAATCTCATCTCCAACATAGAGTAGCTGTGAGACCTTGAACAGCTTACTTAATGCTCCTGCACCTATTTCCTCAACTAGAAAATAGAGTGACAACTACACTCAGATGATCGTTTGGGGAATTGAGTAAGATGATATATGTACAAAACTCAGACTACCTGGGACTTACGTCCTAAGTGTTCAGAGAATAGGAAATGCAGTATTATTGTTGTTATTATGGTCATTACCTTCGTCATCAAACTAGACCCGGACAACTGGGTAATAATCACAGTTCTGTCCCCATCATGCAAATGACTTCGGCAAGTCACCTAACCATCCAGGACTTCAGTCTCCTTATCTAAGATAGGTAAAGATGCCCAACCCAGGGGAGGCAGAATGGCTGGACTGCGGAGTGGTTGGCGATCTATACCAACTCTGCAAAGCATAGGGTGGGCGGCATGGAACAGGGGTATGAAGAGGCTGTGACCTCAGTGCTTCTCACAAACTGCGATTTCACGAACACGTAAAAGAAAAGGGGGGGGGATTTTTCGAGAAAGTTTCTGAGGGGTCAAGTTAGGTTTGCCAACTGTGTGATTCCACCAGATAATCAACAAAACCCAAATATCATCTATCTACCATCTCCATCCTTTCCTAAAAAGGGGAAATTTTATTGCCAATAGAATAGAAAAAACATCATCTTAGGATCTCCTTCAAAGTGGGCGGTATTACATTTCACCTGTAATAAAGATCTGGCCAGTGGAGATCAATCAGTCTTTCAAATATCAATATAGTGAGTGAGGATGGGGAAAGAAGAAAAGAGGCAAAGAACCAAGATTGGAAACAGCGGGAGGTGGGATGAGGAACAGGCCCATCAGGAGCAGGATAAGCAGGCTTGAGCATCAGAAAGGTGGAGGGGGCAAGGACAGAGTGGAAGCAAGGACCTCGGGTTTGCTATCAAGAAGTGAGGTACGCGTCAAAGAACGATATTACATCTAAAGATTCAAATATCTAAATCAGATAAAAGCAATTCCATTTTATCATGCCATTCTGAAAGCACTACCTAATTAATCTACATAACTGACCAGAAATAGAACTTACAGTTGAAACCATCAGATTTGCATATTCATGAATTTATATTTTCAGTTTACTATTTATTCAAAATAGCAAAATGGGATCAGCTATAATGTATGTGATATCAGTTACACAGCTGATCTATACAATATTTTATAATCTATAATATAGCATATTACTTATCATTAAAGTCATAGGCTACTGATTACAGTGGCTTTAAAATTGAGTCTAGTGAAAATGACCTAAAATCCAACAGTAGGGAAAGATAATAGGCATATACCTTATAAGGTGATAAAATAAAATATTAGGCAACCCTTAAATATCTTGTTTTCAAAAATGATTTAATGGTTTGCAGAAATGCTCTTGATATAATATGAAGTACAGAAGGCATTACGCGTATCTGCGTAAAAAAGTAATTCCCACTTCTACGAATATTTACAATGAGTAAAAGCCTGGAAAAAGAAAACATAAAAAAGATAACACTGGTCATCTCTGGTATCACAGGTAATCTAATATTCCTTCCATTTTTCTGCATTTTACACGTTTGAAATGACAAAATACATTAGTTTCATAATTAGAAACAATTAATAAGTTAACGTAACAGAAATACTTACTCTTGGGAATTTAGGATTGAAGTAGTTAATTACTGCAAATTCAAAATAAGATGCAAAACCCTCTTTGAGCCAGATATCGTTCCACCAATTCATGGTAACCAAATTTCCAAACCACTTTTGGAGATGGGAGAAAAAAGAGCTTTTTTAATCTTAGGAATATTTATTGTAATTGCATGTTAAATACATAGACGGTCAAAGACATAATGAAACTATATTTCCCTCAATAACAGAACTGGAAAACAGGACCCCAAAAAGCATGTTGTGGTTTTAACATGAAGAGATATCAGTCATGCATTTCTTTAAAATATTTCACATCCAATGATTGAAAGCAATTTTTGCTTTAAAACTGTCATGTTCAAAGATAAAGGTAAGCTAGAGGAGCATGTCTGAAACTGTCCCCTTCCCCAAGAATTATGTTAATTTAAATAAGGCAAAAGTCTGGAATATTCACCCAACACCTACTAACTACAGCATCTTAGACTCTCAATAGACTACATAGAATTTTGCAGTAAGCAGTAGTGTTGTCTTAAGAACATGTTTTGATCTGCCCCATGTCCAAGTCACTCATATGTTCTGCTACAATTATTTTCTATTTGAGCTTAACAGAAACAAAGTGTCAAATGGATGATGAATGGAATCAGGAAAGAAAAACACAATAATTTCTAACACCAACTAATCTGTACCCTAGTATTTAATCAAATTCTTGCAAAAGCTGTCATGCATTAATAGCTAGCAGCCGGTGTGCCAGAGCAATGTGCTGCTTGAGCAATCATAAAAAAGTGGCATTTGGGGTGACTGGCTGAAACTTGTCAAAATTTGTGTTGACTATGCAACAAAGTGTTATTCTATCCCAATAGATCATTCGTTCCCAAAACTTCTTGTGGATCTACGTAACAAGAAGATAACAATTTCCTAGTTCAGATAATTTCTTTCTGGACAAATTTGTATTAATGGAGTCAGGGTCAAAAAGCAGATGGGAGAAGCTCCATCAAACATATAACTAAGCTTCTAAGATCACATTGTAAAAGCACAGATCTAATGAAATAAATCGTTTACACCACCTCTGGTATGCGGCTTGAGGATTGAGGACTGCCCATCTCACGGACAACTTAGCCAATTGCCTATATCCCCCTTGAGCCCCTCTTCAGACAAAGCAAAAACAAAGTTCATAACAATCTACTGATGAAATGTATCTTTCAGGGATCTTTTTTGAATATTCCTTATTTTAAGATGGAATGAAAACAAATAATCATAGCTCTGGTTGGCTTACTTTCCCTGAAGAGGGCTCCCTGGAGTGAAGTTTACTTTTGGATGTAAATACCTGAACTCTGAAGGGCCTGGGAGGTCTCATGGCTATGATCCATCACCAATAGTTCAAATTCACACAAGATCTGATTACATAAATCTTTCTTTCACTGTCCCACTTCTTGAATAATTTTTTAAAATTTGGTGTACCATAGAGGTTTTGTTTTTTGCTATCCTTGGTAGAACAGCTGGAGAATATCTTCATGTGAAATAAGAAAGAACATTTTACCACATGCCTGATGTCCGATCTCATGGGAGAGAATGAAGGAGATCACAGCCTTTTTGTCTGTTACTTGATCATTTGGTTGCATCAGCAATAATGACTCATCGAATATCAATAGTCCCCAATTTTCCATTGCACTGTTGTCAAAAGTAGGCAAGGCAATTATATCTAAGTGGATTTAAATGGAGGGAAAAATGAAATCATCTCTTCCAAAAAGTTTGAGATTTCCAGATATAACGGTCTCAAAATGAAATCATAAAATTACTAAAAGAAAATACAAGTGAATATTTAGAATGTGAGGGGAGAGGAGACAAATACCAAAGACGGAAGCCAGAAAATAAATGGTTTTGATTGTCCGAAAATCAAATACTTTTGATAAAGGACCTGTACAGAGAAATCTTAAAACTTCACCATAAAAAAATAAACTTTACAAAATGGGCAACAATCAATCTAAAGAGACATTTCATTGCATAAGATAGGCAAATATGCCTATGAAAAGATGATCTACATCCTGTGTCATTGGAAAATTGCAAATTAAAATAATGAGATACAACTATACACTCATTAGGATGGTTTAAATCCAAAACACACTACCAAATGCTGCAGAAGATATGGAAGAGTGGCAGGAACTCTCACTCATTGCTGGTGGGAAGGCAAAATGGTATAGCCACATTGGAAGAGAGTTTGCCAGTTTCTTATAAAATTAAATAAAGGCTGGCCATACAGTCTAGCAATTGAGCAACTGAGGTTATTTGCCCAAATGAGTTGAAAACTTAAGTCCACACAAAAATTGGCACAAGAATGTTTATAGCAGCTTTATTTTTTTTAAAGATTTTATTTATTTATTTGAGAGAAAGAGAGCACACGCATGAGCGGGGGGAGGGGCAGAGGGAGAGGGAGAGCAGCAGACCCGCCGCTGAGCTGGGAGCCTGACTCCGCTCACAGCTCGATCCCAGGACTCTGGGATCATGACCTGAGCCGAAGGCAGACGCTTAACGACTGAGCCACCCAGGTGCCCTATAGAAGCTTTATTTATAATTGCAAAAAAAAAAAAAAAAAATCGGAAACAACGAAGATGTCTTTCAATAGGTGAGTGGATACACAAATTGCGGTATGTCCATACAATAGAGTGTTATTCAGCGATAAAAAGAAACGAGCTATCCAACTATGAGAGGACAAGAAGGAACTTTAAATGCAGGTTGCTAAGTGAAAAGAAGCCAGTGAGGACAAGCCACACGTGGTACGATTCCAACTATGTAACATGATGCAGAAGGTAAAACCAGAGAGGCAGTAAGAAAATTGGTGGTTATCATGACTCTGGGGAGAAGGGGGGCAATGAACACAGGGGATTTTTATGACAGTGTAACTACTCTGCATGATACTGTAATTTTGGATACATGTCATTCTACATTTGTCAAAACTCATAGAATGTATAGCACCCAGAGTGAAACCTAACATACATTATGGGCTTTATTTAACAATATTGTATCAATATTCATTCATCATTTGTAACAAATGTAACACTCTAATGCAAGATATTTACAGTAACAGAAACTGTGGGGGGGGGGAAGGGCAAGGGGGAGGTGGTAAATGGGAATTCCCTATACTTGCTGTGTAATTTTCCTTAAACCTACAAGTGCTCTAAAAAATAGTCTAGTTTTTTTTTTTTTAGATTTTATTCATTTATTTAATTGACAGAGAGAGAGAGACAGCGAGAGAGGGAACACAAGCAGGGTGACTGGGAGAGGGAGAAGCAGGCTTCTCACTGAGCAGGGAGCCTGATGCGGGGCTTGATCCCAGGACCCTGGGATCATGACCTGAGCCGAAGGTAGACGCTTAACCGACTGAGCCACCCAGGCGCCCCAGAAGTAGTCTAGTTAAAATGAAATATTTTAGTTCACCAAAAGACACTATAAACAAATTTGAAAGGCAAATCACAAGCTGGGAAAAATATCTGCAGCATATATAACAAGCAACTAGATAACTTTTTTTATATCTAAAAAAAAAACCTCTTACAGATCAAAATGAAAAAAAAACCAAAAAGGTGAACAATTCACTTAAGAAATAATTCAAATAGCCAAAAATCTTACTTAAAATGTTCAACTTTATTATCAGACACACAAATTAGAACAATGATATAACTTAATCTTTCAAATGTGTAAGAGGATTAATAATTAGTACTGCTAATATTAGTATTAACAATTAGGTACAGGAAAATTGGCATATAGCCTGTTAGTAAGGATGTGACTGCTACAATCTTTCTGGAGTGATCCAGCAAAATGCTTCAGAATTTTTTAAAATGTTCCTACCCTTTGACTAACTCATTCAACTTTTGGGATTTATACTAATGCAAATAGCATGGATATTTGTAAACATTCCCTGTGTTTCCTTTAGTGTTCTTAAAGTGGCGAAAAAAGGGGGGAGGTCATGCAATTAGTCCAAATGTTCAACCAGCGGGTTTAAATAAATTATTTTGCCAAATTGATATGTAGGCATTCTATGTTTTAAAAATGACAATACAGGGGTGCTTGGTGGCTTGGTGGTTGAATGTCTGGACTCCTGGTTTTGGCTCAGGTCGTGATCTCGGGGTCCTGCCATTGAGCCCCATGTCAGGCTCCATGCTCAGTGTGGAGTCTACTTGAGATTCTCTCTCTCCCTCTGCCCCTCCCCCTGCTCACGGACACACAGACACACACACACACTCTCTCTCTCTCTCTCTCTCTCTCGCTCTCTGGAATAAATGAATACATCTTTTAAAAAATAAAAAATAAATAAAATGACAATACAAAAGAATAGTTATCTGGATCATGTTGCCACATAGAGTTACCTTTTAAAATAAAACAAAAGGCCACTCAAAGAAGAGTCGCAACACTGTGGGGTTTCATTTTAAAAACAAGCAAATACAGAGATTGAGACTGCCGAGACAGCAGGAAAACAGACCCAAAATGTTAGCTGTGGTTATCTCTGAGTGGTAGCATTACGGGAAATTTTTATTCTTTTTTGTGCTTTCCCTGATTTTTCCAAATTTTCTATGGTATGATCATTTATTAGTTTTAAAACTAGAAGAACAGGGGCATCTGGGTGGCTCAGTTGGTTAAGCATCTGATCTTGATTTTGGCTCAGGACGTGATCTCAGGATAGTGAGATCGATCCCCTTCATGGGCTCCGAGCTGGGTATGGAGCCTATTTAAGATTCTCTCTCTTCCTCTGCCTTTGCCCCTCCCCCACCCAAAATAAAACTAGAACAAGAAAACATTTTACCTTCTTTTGCTAATAGAAGAAATGCCATTTTTATAATGCGCGCTACGTTTGCCTAATGAATGTTCTGTGCTGTGCTGTGTTCGATATGTTATGTTGATTTATACATGGTTGAAGATGGCATGTGCGGTAAAATGTATCTAGGTCATTACATAGCCTCTGCTAGTTAATGCTCTATTATCTTTGGGCGTACTTAATTGCTAAACCTAGGTTGGAACTCTTCTACCTCCCTTTTCCTCCACCTGCATCCATCCCCCCTTCCATCAACCCACTCACTTTCCTTGCAAAGTCTGCTCTGCTCCACTCAAGCCAATCCCTTTTACTCTCTACTACTGTTGAGCCATTCTCTGCTCAAGTTGTTTGGTGCCCCAAGCAATCCTCTGTTCAATCTATGAATGCCCCCAATCCTTGCTGGCCAATCTTAAACAAGTCTAAGAAGCCATTCCTTACTAACTCCTGATGACGATTTTTACCTTCAGATGCCCAGAATTGGGAGTAAGCAAATTCTTGTTTCTTGATCAACTATCATCACTGGCTCACACAGGACCCTGTTTTATTTTAATGATACCTCATTATTTTAAAATAAAAATACAGGGGCGCCTGGGTGGCTCAGTCAGTTAAGTGTCTGCCTTCAGCTCAGGTCATGGTCCCAGGGTCCCAGGATTGAGCCCCTCATCGGGCTCCCTGCTCATGGGGAATCTGCTTCTCCCTCTCCCTCCCTGTTTGTGTTCTCTCTTGCTATCTCTTTCTCTCTCTAATAAAATCTTAAATATAAAATAAAATAATGATATAAATACCCATGAATCTGCCTCTCTCCCTTTAGAACAAGGTTGGCAAACCCTTTCTTTAAAGTGCCAGATAGGAAGTATTTTCAGCTTTGTGGGCTGCATGTTTTCCATCACATCTTTAACTTTGGCATCACAGAGCAAAAGCATCCATAGACACTATGTAGGCAAATGAACCAAGCTGTGTTCCAATAAAACTTTATTTATGGACCTTAAGATTTGAATTTCATATAATTTCCATGTGTCACAGAATATTTTTTTTTCCCCAACCATTTAAAAATGTAAAAACCACCCTGAGTTCGTGGGCTATCCAGAAAAGGGCAGCAGGCCAGATTTGATAGCTTGCCAGCCCCTAACTGAGAATGTTGCTAATAACTCATACTGTGATTCCCAGACCAGTGGCATCAGCACTACCTGGGAGCTTCTTAGGGATGAGAATTCTGGGACCAACCACAGACCTACTGAAACAGAACTTCTTGGGTCAGCATCTGTGTTTTAACAAGCCTTCTGGATGATTCCAACACACGCTGAAGTTTGAGAAGAGCTGAACTTACCTCTCTCTGTGTGTTCCTTCTCAACTCACACTTTAGCGTCTTCTTCCAGCAGCTAAGTCACTATCTTCAAGTTTAGGGGGTTTTGTTTTTAAACTTTAGAAAAAAAAATGTTTCATTCTCCTTGCTATAATAGAGTTTTTTTGTTGTGTGACTGAAACATAATTTATCTATCCATTCTCCTAACCATGACCATTTTTGGTTGCTTTCAGTCTGGGGCTGTATCAAAAAAAGTGTTAACTATGAACATTCTTGCACACGTCTTCTGGTACATATGTGCTCAGATCCCTCTTGGAGATGTATTTAGAACCAGAATTCCTGGGTTTTAAGGTATTCTAATGATCATCATTGCAAGACAATCAATATGTTTCAAAGTTGTTGTGATGATTGATACTCCCTTCAACACAGCCATTTCCTAACATTTGGCATTTGTTAGATGCCTACTTTTTAACAAGTGAATAGGTATAAAATGGTGCCTCACCCTGGCCTTGGACATTCATTTGTTAGATTACTAAGGAGGTTAAATAACTCTGCATGAGTTTATTAAACCACATGTGTTCCTTTTTCTGTAAAACATCTATTCATGTATCTTTTCCTTGTTTTTTTCTTCTGTATTGTTCTTATTTATTTGTAAGTGTTCTTTATATATTTAGGGTACTCCCATTACCACTTCTTAATCTTCTTTCTCTTAAGGCTTTTATTCAGCCAGTCCATTATCTCTTGCTTGGTGATTCATGGCTTTTGTTTCTACATACTGAAGCTACCACCCCAACTCAGCTACTTGAACAGAGCCCCAGCCACCTACTTCTCCTGCATTCAAAAAGCACCAGGATGGGTGCCCAGGTGGCTCAGTCGGTTAAGTGCTGGACTCTTGATTTCAGCTCAAGTCATGATCTCAGGGTTCTGAGATCAAGCCCCATGACAGGCTCCATGCTCAGTGGGGAGTCTGCTTGAGATTCTCTCCCTCTCCCTCTGCCCCTCCCCCTGGCTCTCATGCACACACACTCTGTCTCTCTCTCTAATAAATAAATAAATCATTTTAAAAAATTAAAATAAAATCTGCAAATCTTAAAAGCCCATATTTATTATTTTTTTAAAAAACAAGATTTATTTATTTGAGAGAGAGAGCACAAGCAGGGGGGACCAGCAGACTCCCCACGGAGCAGGGAGCCCAATGCGGGGCTCGATCCCAGGACCCTGGGATCGTGACCTGAGCTGAAGGCAGATGCTTAACCGACTGAGCCACCCAGGCGCCCCTGTTTTGTACTTTTTAAATGGCTCAACCAAGAGTTAAAATAACTAGGAAACATTTGTTTCTCTCCAATAATAGAAAATCTCATTTTCATCGTCTGTTAAAATGCAGTTGTGAGCAAGTGCTACCTGCATGTCACATTGGTTGAGAGGCTATGAAGGATACAAAACTGTGCCAAATATAACCCTGATTTCCAGAAGTTGACAATCTAGTCAGAATTTAATGGAATTAATGAACTAAAGTGCATGTATTGATCCCCTTCACCAAAAAAAAAAAAAAGTTTACTGTTTACCATTCTGAAAGAAGCACTATCCATAGGCTCTGAGGGTACAAAGAAAAAGACAAGCCAGATCCTGAACCCACATTACTCTTGATCTCATGGTCAGGGGCGGGGGTGGGGGGCAATTACGATCTAGTTAAGTCAAGAGTTCCAATGGAGGGGTGCACAGGATGCTGTGGAAGCATGAGGAAAAGGGCGTCAGGGAAAGCTTCCTGGAGGAGGGGCACTAAGTGGAGAAATATACGAATTAACCAGTTGGGTAGACCTCATCGCGGGTTGTGCAAAGTGCCTGAGCAAGAGCCTGGGGGAGAGAAGAGGAAGGTGGAGGAGGGGAAGGAGAGGGTGCCAAAGCCTCCTTCCGACTCTGGAAAACTGCCGAAAGCCCCAAGAGTTTGGCAAGAGATGCATGGTTGTAAAGACAGACTATATACAGAGTCTGGACTTGATCCTCAGGGCGATGGGAAGCCACGGAGAGGTTTTAAAGAGGCCAGTAATACGGTCGTTGGACTTCGCTAGGGAAAGATCCCCTGTGCCTCGGTGTGGGAGACAGAACAGAGGGAAGGGGGTATGACCAAATGGGGCCTGCTGAGGTAGGGATGATAGTGGTGTGAACCACGGAGGGCTGGGGGCACGGGGAGGAGGGCATGGAGGTAATGAGCAGGAGCCTACTTGGATGGAGGGGTGCTTTATGGAACAGGGTGTGGAGGGTCACTCTGGACTGTTCCTTATCTAAATAAAGACAAATGGAAATTTTCTTGCCTAGACAAGTGTCATCTTGAGATCCTCCGGCCACAGGAGCCTCCAAGCCCAGGCTTCTGATGCCCCCAACTCCCAAAAGGACAGGTATCACTTCCCGGACCCCTAACTGGGCCAAGGCTGCCTCACGCCCCATTCCTCCTGAACCAGCAAGCTTGAGCTACAGAGCCTCCAGCTCGCCGGGCCGAGTTCAGGAGGCTTGAGTTCCCAGGTATGGACTTCCTACCTTCTTCCACCATCTGCCCGTGTAGACAGGGCATGCTCTTTCCACGCATTCACATAACATGTCGGAGGAACAAAATACATGTACACGATACACCCTCACGGTAGACAGAGAAACCACTGGACGACTTTCTGAGCTGAGGGGCTCACGCGATTTGAAGGACATACTCTACAGATCTATAAGCAATAAAACGTTCCCGGATTTCCTCGAGGAGCCTAGTGTTTGTTCACAGGTGATTCCAATTTTATACAGCAAACGTTGACAGATAGGACCTTGCGTCCTCATGCAATGACTCACAGCTAAAGAATAGGAAAACAAACAAACAAACAAACAAAACCCAAACAAACCCCACCCCACAGGAAACCACCCCCGATCCAAAACCTTCATTCACGGGAACTGGAGTAATTCTCGTAGTCCTGCTAAAAGGATCCAGAATATTGCATCATCCCCATGCACTGGGAGAAGGACGGACAGAACGCTAGAGAAAAAGCAGGGGCTAGAGGCTATGAACCTCGCCGTGAACACCCAGGAGGTGTCTAAATCCTGAGGACACCTGCTGGGCACATGGCATCGTACAGAGAAATAGCAAACAGGCCCCTCTGTGTTCAGGAAGGTGTCGGACACAAGGCTGGGAGGCCAGCAGGGCTGCCCCCCAAAAGAGCAGCTAAATGGTGACAGTGGGTCCTGGAGGCTCCTCTGCATGCCCTTTGACCTTAACCCAGGCCCCCCACAATAGGAAGCCATTGCATCGGAAGGGAAAATGGCTCACCTGTTTTGGGAAGAGGGTAACTAATATTAAATAAATCTTCCAGAAAAGAGAAGATGGGACCTGTGAGGTTCAAAGCAAAGTCTGCATTTCCGTTCGCGATGGCGTCTTTCCGGGCCCAGATGCGTATCTAAATCAAAACAATGAAGTGGTGATTAGGAAAAGCAGTCGTGACTTGGGCAACAGGCAGCCTGCTTGGTCCAAATCCCTGATGCTCTGGAGTCAAAGCCTTACCTTTTCGGAAGAAGCTACGGAATAGAATGTTGGCCGGTCACCCCTGAACAACATGCGGGGGTTTTAGGGGTGCTGACCCGGTGCAGTAAAAAAATCCACAGATCACTTTAGGGTCCCCAAAAACTTAACTGCTAATAGGCTGCTATTGACCGAAAGCCTTCGATCATGGGAACGGTCACTCAATACACATGGTGTCTATTATATACTGTTTCTTACAATAAAGTAAGCTAGAGAAAAGAAGATGTTATTAAGGAAATCATAAGGAAGAGAAAATACATTTACAGTGGTGAACTATACACAAAATCTGTGCATAGGTGGACCCGCTGGGTCCAAATCTGCGTTGCTCAAGGGTCAACTGGAAATGTGTACATGCCCTGGAGAAAATCCAGAAGGCTGTTCGCTAAGATGTAAGCAGTGACTCTCTGGAAAGGGGTGTTATTTCAGTGTTTTACAGTAACGTGTCTAACTCTTGGAATTCAGAAATAATCCTTGGGCTAGTATCTACCCCCACCAAAAATGTAGACTCTGAGTAAAAGAGCATGTTGGACCCTTGCTTCCCTTTTTAGGACCTATTTCCAACGTTCCCAAACAGAATTGTGCGGTTAGCAGGGGTTACACGGTGTGGTAGGGATTTTACACACGTCCGCATCGTGCAAATTTAAAATGGTTCCTTCATGCTTATTAGCGCTGAGGTCATTAATAGGGCGATCCTGTCTTCGAAATTTTAAGTAAGGTTAATTCCCTTAATTTAAAGAAGTTCGTCAATAGTTCTAGGATTTTACAGTTGTTCAGCAAGTGAATTACAGTCTCTCTGTTTATGACATTTCCTCTTTAGTAAGTAAAGAGACATCCCTGCTTTGTTAGTTTAATGTGACCGAGCTACTGTTTGGGCCCTTGGGAATTGATTTTGCAACTTCGGTGGCAACTTTGTTCCTGTTTGACCATTCATTATTATTATTATTTTTAAAGATTGTATTTACTCATTTAACAGAGAGATAGAGAGCACAAGTAGGCAGAGTGGCAGGCAGAGGGAGAGGGAGAAGCAGGCTCTCCTCTGAGCAGGGAGCCGGACGCGGGGCTCGATCCCAGGACCCTGGGATCATGACCTGAGCCAAAGGCAGCCGCTTAACCAACTGAGCCACCCAGGTGTCCTCATTATTATTTTAATAGGAAATCATTTTATATCCCACAGCAAAAGCATCGGGGCACTTTTTTAATGGGGTTGCTAGCGTTAACACCAAAGAACATGCACGAGACTCAAAAACCCTGGAACAAAAGGTCGAAATGAGGGCATTAAGATAATTGTCCTGATGTGAATACCATCGATGTGAGGATGCGTTCTCTGCCAAACACTGGAGAAAGTGCTGGGAAAATGAAAAGCAGGACAATGATATTTACAGCTTGCTGAGCTCCAGGAACGCATTCACCTTCCTCTGCTTGTATTTCTGCTGGAAAATTTGTCTTGAATTAGGTGAATTTGGAATTACATGAGGTCTTCAGGAATGTTCCCCTCTCACAGAATGCAGCCACCTGCTTCTGGGGCCTCCGACCGCGTGCTTTTCAGCCTCCCCCACACTGCAGAGGCCTCCTTCTCCCCGGAAGGAGGCCCCAGGACTCAGCCCTGCCCCTACATGGCACTTCCCCCACCCCCCACCTCCAGTTCCAGGCAACAAGAAGATGGCTGCACCCAAACCCACACTGTGAGTGGAAAGAACATTCCCTTCTCCCTGCATTCAAGATGGATGCATTTTCACTGTAACATTTGGAGAAATAACAGAACCTTTGTAGGTTCAACTTTCAGTTTCAAAACTCCTCCCCCAAACTACCATCCTATAAGCCAAAGGCGAAGCAAGTGATGGAGACTTCAAGCTGTGTGGGAGGGAGCTAACACAAAACAGTGAGGAAAACTTGGAAGATGCAGCCGTAAAATTCCTTCAAATCCACACCTCACTGCCCCCCCAGTGTGATCTTGGGGTCCTCCCTGCACCCAGCAGACCTCAACACCTAAGAGAGGAAAATCTTCACACACGCCTGTGTGTGCCAAGTCCTACTCAAAAGATGTTATTTCCAACCTTAGGTCTGTGTTTCCATGTTTATTCTCATGTCAAGGATTAACCACCTTTTCAATCTCACTAAATTTTTATCTCTTCCTCGACGAGCAATTGTTTGTATAATCTGGACCCTCTTCCAAGAGTACATTCTGGTTCCCCTGTAGGATAGATGCCGGACTCCTTCCCTTTGTAGAGAGCTGAGCCAGAGCCAAACCAGCATTCCACTGATAAACTCATCCCAAATTTCAATCTTCTGGGAAAGAAGGGGCCTTTCTTAGGCCTGTTCCGTTCCCTCTTTGCTTCAGTGCCAGCTGGGGCTATCTTTCACCAAGAAATGGACTGGCCCCTTTTTCTCAAACTTTCTGCTGAGAAAGCAGCCCCGAGAGCCACCGGCCCCTTGAGAGCCACTGGCCCCATGGGAAGCCCCATGATGTGCTTCTACATCACGCCCGAGGAGATTTCTCAGGAGGTGTCGGGAACGTTTCCCTTGGCCTGTGCTCCGTCTGTGCATCTCAAGGCCCCACCAGTGACTCTTCGGGAAGCGAAATCAAGCTGCAACCAACAGCTGAGGAGGAGAAGCTGTGGTCTGCGTGGAACACAGTATTGTTCCTTCAGCCTTCAGAGGAGTAGCTCAGAGTGATTCGCCCCTGATGAGAGGCTTGTCTCCTCCACAGCCTCCTGATCTGCGCGAGTCCATGGTACAAGCCTGGAAGATGCTGGGCCTGGGGAGAGAGTCTCCGCCCACTGTCGGAGCTTGATTTTCTCAAGTCTGGGAGGTCAACGTGGTGAGACAGAACATGGCCTGAGGAATTGGCCTTACTTCCCTCCACGCTCCAGTGTGGGGTGTGAGCCAGATGGTAAAGGACTGCAGTGGGAACCTGGATATTTGCCCAGAAGGTGACTACAGAAGGAGGGCATGACTGGGTGAGAACAAGGTGTTTCGGGACAGAGCGCCTCCTTCACCCAACTCTGAGGGAGTGCCGTGTGTCTCAGAGTTGAGCAAGCCAGCGGCCCTGATCCATCACCTGCAGGCACCTTTTCCATCATGTGGCTGTTCCCAGCTGGTGCCCGGGGACATATGGGGCGCTGGACACCCTGACTGTCACCCCCGCTTCAAGGCCGTATCACCTCGTGGACTAAATAGCAGGCAAACCCGAGTTTCGAGGCATGAGCACAGGAGAACTGTGGCATCGCATCTGCAAAGCTACACTAGGGTTTCTTTCTTTCCTTTTTTAAAAAGATTTTATTTATTTATTTGTCAGAGAGAGAGAGAGAGAGAGCACAAGCAGGGGGAACTGGAGTGGGAGAGGGAGAAGCAGGCTCCCCGCTGAGAAAGAGCTCGATGCGGGACTCGATCCAGGACCCTGGGATCATGACCTGAGCCGAAGGCAGACGCTTAACCGACTGAGCCACCCAGGCACCCCTCCCCCCACTAAGAGTTTCAACAGGGCCTAGAAACAGTTAGAGGGGCCACCAGGAGGTGACATGGGAGACGGAGGCATAACCCCCGGATTTGGAAAGAACGGATGAACCACCCACAGCCAGTACGAAGGCATCCTTACCTGGACGGTCTTCCTCACTCACCTCCTTGCCCCTTTCGGTTCTGTCCACGTGGGCATAGTCACATACGGCCAAGGCCACTAAGTAAGTCGGCATGTGGGGCGTGGTGGAAAACTTGGTGACTGTCCACGTGCTTCCATTCGCGTCTCTCCTTGCAGACTGACCTACAGAAATCGATTTCAGTCCAAATCACTGCAAACCAAAGCACTAATAGCCACCTCTGAAACCATGTGTCCAGGTGCATGTCACCCAGCGACTTCTTCCCAGCCAGTCCCCAGAGTCGAGCAGTTTGGATTTCTCCACCCCGAACTCATCAAAACCATATGAAGCGAAATAAGTCCAAGAAAGACAAATACCATATGATTTCACTGATGTGTGAAATTTAAAAGGCAAAACACATGAACAAACCAACCAACAAACAAAAAAACTGGAAACTCAAAAATACAGAGAATAAAATGGTGGTTGCCAGTGGAAAGGGGGCTGGGGAGGTGGGCAAAATGGGTGAAGGAGATTAACAGCTAAAGTGGGGAGGGACGCCTGGGTGGCTCAGTCAGTTGAGCATCTGATTCTTGGTTTCCACTCAGGTCATGATCTCAGGGTTGTAAGATCGAACCCTGCTTCGGACTCCATGCTCAGCGTAGAGTCTACTTGAGATTCTCCCTCTCCCTCTGCCCCTCCCCCTGCTAGCTCTCTCTCCCCCCCTCTCTCTCTCAAAATAAATAATCTTTGAAAAAAGATCAATGCCACAGGGATACAATGTACAGCAGAGAAGATGGTGACTACACTTATCATGGTGAACCGTGCATAATGTCACCTAATTGTCGAATCACCACGACATATCTCTGAAACTCATGTAATCTTGTATGTCCGCTATACTTCAATTAAAAACATACAAACAAAGAAACGATATTAGGAAGATCTAGGGACAGCACCTTTGCCCTGAATCGGTATCCTGAATAATATTGACGGAGGGCCAAATCCATGGGCACATACGTGAGGCCCACGACACACCTCTTCTCTTTTCCATCCACTTCTACTGTTTCCTAGACCAGTCCAGCTCTCACAACACTTCATCTAGAGCCTCCCAGGCCCCCAGGAGGTCAAGGAAGGGCAATTTGGCCATTGTAAGCTTTCAGCAAAGTCTCCAGTGGAGGCAGGCTGGGTCTTTAAAGCTGAGGGCCAGGTATCTGATGTGAATCAGGCTGGCATACATTAACAGGGAGTGGTGGGGACCACAGCAGACTGGGAGGGGTGGGGCCCATCTGCAGGGGACAGCCTCTCACAAGCTTTAACTATTGCTGTCACGAAGGAGCTGCGTGCTTCGTGTTCTTACATCTTCTGTTTACAAGGAAGTAAAAATCTTGATTTTTATGAGAAATCTCTGGATCTTTTAAAGTTCAATCAGAAGAAAAAAACATGTGAGCCAAATGAAACACATCTGGGCACCAGATTCAGACTAAGTCTGCTAGCTTGTTATCACTAATGATCAATATTGAAGGCCAAACTAACGGGCAGACAGGCTGCCAAGGAATAAGAACAACGTGGTGTCCCCAGCTTCCAAAGCAAAAAGAATCTGGATTTACCATCTCCAAGATGCTGGTGCTGATACAGACCCCAGTTGACTGCTCTCCCTAATTATAATACACTGCCAATACATGGCCTCGAAAAGCTATTGATATCAAAGGTATTACAGAGTTAAATATATATGCATACACATATATATGTCTGTATATCCACACACACATATGTATCATTAATACACATGCATATATGAGGACAGGAAATATTACTTACCTAGTTTTGGCATGTTGGAAAGGGCCACATAGCTTGGGTGATGAATAATTGTAATATTAAAAGTTGCCTTTAGAGCTGGCTCATCAAAACAAGGAAACACACTCCTGGCAAATGTGGGTTCCATCTGAGACGCTAACAGGGCCCTGCAATACAGTTTTGGGAAAAATCTATTTTTATTTCAAATTAGGGGAAACAAAAAAAAATATGGAGGGATGATGGCTTATAATTATATTCAGGAAGGAGCTAGAATATTTCCCCTCATCTTCCTCGCTGCCCTTCCGTTAAAACACAGTTTAGTTCTCACCACACCTTGGAATTCTTGTAAGACTTAAAATACAAAAGACCTATTTAATTTTTGACCACAAAATACTATTTACTTCATTACATCATATGCCTTTAAAACCCTCTGCAAACAAAATAGGGACAAATATAGCAAATATGCAATGACAGGCTTTTGAGAACCAAGTTATTTTTTTAAACTAGGATTACTTTTTGGGGACTGGACTATTGTTCTCATCCTCCATCGAAATGCAAGCAATGTTTACTGGAGAATTTCTACATTTTTATCTTTTTCTCACATGGTCCCTCTTCTTCATGGTTGAAAACTTAGAAGAGGTTTTATTCTGTACCCGCTGGGGGTAAATGATCTAAGTACATGCCAAATGAAAAAAAAAAAAAAAAACTACTTTCATTTACATATGGGTAGATTTATCAAATCCCTACGGCTCCTTCCCCGATCTCCATGGAAAAATACAAAGAGTGACATTACCCCACAGTGTACTGGTGATTAGGGGAAAAGCTTCGGGACAAGAGTACCCTGGGCAAATGAGGAGATTGTCAGGTTCATCCTCTGTAAGCACGGCCGACATCTGACAAGAGATGGGTCCTCGCTAACAACTTTCTTCCCAAATAAACCCTGTGGTCTCATTAAGACTCGGTGACCTGGGACCCTGATTTGGGATGACAACTGTGGATGCTAATTCTTTTTTTTTTTTTTCTCCTAAGGTCCTGAGGCTTAACGTCCCTAATGCATTTACCCTTGTTTCAGGCCCAGCTTTTAAATAAAAAACAAGGGAATTCAACAGGGTGTGAAAGAGTATGGCCCCTGCATTATCACCACCCACCTCCACCACGATAAGGCCCCCACTCACATGGAAATTCACACGCAACAGTCCACACGCTCAAAAGCCTCTCAAAGTCAGCCAACTTGAAGTGTTCATAACCTCGCTGTGACAAAACCGTAATTTTCAACAAGCCTGTTCTGCCCCATATGCTTCTTCCCACTTAACTTTGCCCTTGCTTCCACAGGCTGGAAGGCGGCCCGTGAACTCTGACATCCGTGAACTCTGACCTCAGCCACTTTGGCTGCAAGACTCTGCTCCATCTCCTGCTAGCTGAGCAAGCCTGAACAACCTGCCACACGTTCTTGCTGAGCCTCTGATTCCCCACCCGGAAAGGAATGGCACCATCAACCTTTTCTTGCTGTTTGAACTTTCAGCTGATTAGTAACTGAATTTTTCAATAAACCACCTATGAATTCTCCTATATGCCTTTCAATCTCCCAGATTGCTCTCCATATAGATGAACTGTAAAAGAGTTCAAGGAGGGATAAGTTATGGGGTAGGGGTGGAGGGTTGGAACACTGACAATTACAACTGCATTTAGACAGGTCTCAGAGGTCACGGTTGACCGCAAGCTGAATATGAACCACATTTGTCTTCCTAATAAAGATCAAACTACCAGAAGTAGGGGTCACGTGTTTTCTCTTCAGTACCATTTATAATATTTGGCAAAAACATGCGTTCATAACAATTGAATAAGTATTTTCTCAGCTTTGGAGGGACTACAAAATAAAGGCAGCTTGATCTAATATAGATAAAAGAATACGAAGTATTTTTACAGTGTCTGTTGCCCCGGCTATTTGTTTTGTAGTATTGGTTGCTATCTTTAGAAGACAGGTGATGAAGGAGAGAAGAGTCAAACAGTTGACGATATAGTGGAAAGAATATTGAGCAGGGAGGGGCACCCGGGTGGCTCAGTCAGTTAAGAGTCTGCCTTCGGCTCAGGTCATGAACCCAGGGTCCTGGGATCGAGTCCCGCATCAGGCTCCCTGCTCAGCAGGGAGTCTGCTTCCCCCTCTCCCTCCGTCTACCGCTCCCCCTGCTTGTGATCGCTCGCTCTGACAAATAAATAAAATAAAATAAAAAGAAAGTAAACCTCTCTTCACTGCCACGACTTCACAAAGCGTACGAATCTCAAGGAAGTTGCCAGGTGAGAAGGAGAGAAAATCACACTCTTCAGGCAAGTGAAAGTTGTATGCTCATCAAAAGGGGCTACTCTACTTCTGAAACTAATAATACATTATGTTAATTAGTTGATTTTAAATTTTAAAAAGTGGGGGGCGGGGGAGCTACAGGTTTCCAAAAGGCTAAGAGACACCCACTCAGAGAGTCACCACTTTAACAAACCAAATACCCAGCAAGTGCCTTCCCATTCCATGATTCGGGCCTCTGGAGAAGTGAAATAAAAGAAACTCTTGGATCTTGCTCAACTATTTCCCTCCCTGGTTTTCTACGAACAAACAAAACAGGAAAGATCCCTACAACACACAGCCTTGCTGACTCGCAGCCTTACCTACCAGGTCAGGACCAGCCAGCAGCATACACGACCTGGTTATGTCACATCTGGGAACTGAAGGGCGGTACTTGTTCCCTGCTGTCTCTGCTTTGGACTCAAGCAACCCTGTAAGGATATCCTGACCTCAGAAAAAAGAACCATCCACCCTCTCCTGCCCTCAAAGCTCACTGAAACCTGCTATTACAGTGCCTGGAAGTCTGGGTTGAGAGCAGTCAGCTGGGGAGGGAGTTAATTTGGGAGAGTTTGTCTCGTAGGGGCTCGGGATTTCAAAGCCACTTTCCTGCCCTCTGGTACAGCCAGAGAATCCTGGACTCGCCACGTTTCTGTGCCGGAGGAGGTCTTTGGGGTCAAGACCACGTGATGTCCTTGGGGGATCCATCTACTGCCACGTAAGAAACATCCATTCACTAAGGTGTTTCATTCCCAAGTATTGTATGGACACCATACGCCTACAGCTCTAGCTCACAAGTGCTGAGTAACATAACTGGCCAAGGGTTAAGTAAGACCTGAAAGTGGTCCCCCTGAGTTGTTTTTGCAAACGACACACTCAGAAATTAAAATGTTTAGTAAAGACGGATGTTACACTACAGGTCTGTGGTTCAAGGCTTGGCCCATGAATTATGTTTGTTTATTACTTGTGTAACAGGATCTTAAAACTGAAGTTTCCACCAGGCAACAAGGCATAATAGAGGTACAATTCCAGAGAAAGGTGCCAAACCATGTTATGAAGATTTTTGAAGGAGATGGCCTCGAGAAGCCACGGGCCCTTCTTGGGCTTCTCAGCTCCATCAGAGATATATGGAAGGGGGCGCCTGGGTGGTCTGTTAAGCATCTGCTTTCGGCTCAGGTCATGATCCCAGGGTCCTGGGATCGAGTCCTGCCTCGGGCTCCCTGCTCCGCGGGGAGCCTGCTTCTCCCTCTCCCTCTGCCCCTCCCCTCTCTGCTTGTGTACTCTCTCTTTCAAATAAATAAATAAATAAAATCTTTTAAAAAAAAAGCGGGAAGGAAGGTCAGAGAATGGAGACAAGAGATGAGAGATTTCTCAGCGTGGGAGGGGCATGGTTTAGCAAAGCCCTCTTGATCTCAGGGTGCTGGGAACCCCTAACTAGGGTGAGCTAGACGGGGAGAAGATCCCACAGAGAGCAGAGAGCGTTTCCTGAGGCTGAGAGACTTGGAGGCTGGTCCCCAGCTTCCGGGTGGGAAAGCCGACATTGACACTGGTCAGAGTCTAACTCCTACCAGGTGGGGCTCTGAAAGGCAGGAGACTGCCAGCTTTGGAGGCAGAGCCGTAAGAAGAGTGCTACTGTCTTCGGACCCACGTCAGCCCCAGGTCAGGAATACATGAGTGTTCCTTGGAAGAGCTGTGGGCCCTGAGACACGGAATGAGCCCGTACAGGACTGACTTGGGTTCTGTCCAACGGGGCCACCTGCAGGAAGCTGGAGATGCACTACTGCATGTCTGGGGGTGGGGCCGAGGAAAGAGCCACTAATGACCATCAGAACAGAGAAGTAGAGAAAGCAGCCGACAGGGGCAAGGAAATCCTAGGAGAAAGAGAAACAGTGAGAAGACCTGTACCTCTGAAACAAATAATACATTATATGTTTAAAAAAAAAAAAAGAAGAAGAAGATAGCAGGAGGGGAAGAATGAAGGGGGGAAATCGGAGGGGGAGACGAACCATGAGAGACGATGGACTCTGAAAAACAAACTGAGGGTTCTGGGGGGGGGGGATGGGTTAGCCTGGTGATGGGTATTGAGGAGGGCACATTCTGCATGGAGCACTGAGTGTTATATGCAAACGATGAATCGTGGAACACTACATCAAAAACTAATGATGCAATGTATGGTGATTAACATAACATAAAAAAAATTTAAAAAAAAAAGGAAATGACATCTTGAGGGGAAAAGGTATGTACTAAGCCAGAGTCAGACCAAATGGCAAGAGTATTGGCTCAGGTAAGAAGTGCCCTCCACGTCACCTCTCCCCATCTCCCCCAGTCCCATGGGACCTGGTCGGGGTGCAACAGCAGCTCTCAAGATGGAAGGTGGGGGGCGGCAACTAGAACCATGAGGTGGAGAAATGGAAACATCACTGCCCCTTACCCCGGAGCCCGCCCCAGCTCTGGGAAGTGAGCGTGGAGCGAGAGAGAGGGAGATTTCACAGTAAATTAAGTCATGGGTTTTAGTAGGACACAGGACTGGATTCTCTAATTTTTGCATCTGGACAGTGTTTGTGACTTCGTGGACATAGATCATCTGTCACCAAAGAATGAGCGGTAAATTATGGGCTGCTAGAGTATTTATGCAGGAGCAGGAAAGATGATCTCAGAGACTAAATTGTAAAAAGGACAGTGGGAGAAACACAGTTGCATTTTTACTGAACTGTGAGGTGTGCTTTTTCAATATGCTGGTTACACTTGTTTTCAAAAGATACAAGATCTCAATCTTTGATGAGCAAAACCATCCCCTAGAGAAGACGGCTCAGCCACATGAAGCATGTGGGGTCA